GTTTCTGTGTATTTGTTTTTATTTAGCAATTCAACATTTTGGTTTCTTTTTTCGCTTTAAATTAGTAGATTTATTTATATTGAGCTCATTTATGTGAAAGTACTTGGCTGAACTGCCGAAATGAGACGAGTGGAAACATGGTATTAGTTTCTGTGTATTTGTTTTTTTTTAGTAATTCAACATTTTGACACTATATTTTTTTTCTTTTTGTTTTTATTTTGTTTCTTTCTTGGCCTTAAATCAGTAGATTTATTAATATTGAGCTTATTTATATGAAAAAACTTTCTATGTTAAAATATTCTCATTTGTAGCCTTAATGCGTAAACTGCCTAAATGAGACGAAAAATTTGTGTATATTTAAATTATGTTTTTATTTAGCAATTTAACACTTTAACACTATAACTTTTTAGCGCAATTTTTGAATGCTAAATAAAAAATGTAAAGGGTCCTAACGTTATACGAATGTTTGTGTAATTTCAATTTAATCTAAATTAAAATAATTCTTATAGATCATAAATATTTGATAATTTTTTATTAATTTTTTTTTTTTTGCGTATAAACATCACAATCATCGAAAAAAGAAAATTTTAAATAAATAAATTAATGCATTTTAGAAAAAATTTTCATTATAAAGCAGGAAAATATTTCAAAGCTGAAAAAAGTTATACAAGTTAATGGCATTGGGATTATCAAAATATTTTAATAAAAAAACGTTAGAGTTTTTTTTAAAAAAAGGATTTATATATACATTCTCTGTTGCTAGCAAAATGCATATTCCTAATAAAATGTTTATGCAAATATTAATTTTTATCAAAATCATAGACTGTACCGGCTGATCGTCTGCCGTCGGACTATGAATGCGTTCATCGTCATCTTCACGTTTCTTCCGCTTTATATTGTTTTGTGTTCAGACACATATATATATTTGTATATATATTTATAGTATTATATATATGTTAACGAATCGTTATGTTATAACAAATTGGTTTTATTTTATATCAGTTAAGTCAAATTGTTGTTTGATGTTTGGATTATAAATTTAAAAGTACATAAAAAGAAAATTATATTATTTAACTATTACATTGCAGAAAAACTTTAGCTACATAAATAACATTTAAAATTAATAATTGATATATGATATATAAATTTTCATATTTGTTTTAATAAAGTTTGCAGTATTGAATAGTGTAATATCACAGTTTAGTAGTGTGAAAGTACTCGTATTGAATAATAATTTTGCTATAATAATATTTCTATTTTTTGTTTTTATTACTGCAAATTTTATTATTATTTTTTTTTTTTAATATTTTTAATTGATAATTTTAACTACTTATTTTACTATTGTATTACAACACATCGTAAACTGTGCATTCAAAATACTTCAATTGCTATGGTCATTAAATAAAATTTAACTTATGTTACTTCTATTCTTTTACAGTAAATTACTTAAATATTTCAAACGTAATTATTAACATAAAATTTCATTCCTCAATTTCATAAATAATGTTTAATACATTGAATACATATTTGATTTTAAATATTTTTAACTGAACTGAACTTTATTGGAAATTATTTAATTTAACATGTTAACTTTGAGGATGCATATTTTTTATATACCTCCTTCCAATTCTGCTTATACATTTTTTAATTATTAATGTATATACAAAGATGTGAAGAAAAATATTTACGTTATAATTTGTTTAGTTTTTTATATAGAAAAATAAATTTAAATTTTTTTAAATTTAATTTATATATATATATAGCTATTGTGTTGTGTTGTGTGCAAACAAATTAACTAATAGTGAGATTTTTTTTGCATTGAACTTGAAACTAATTTTTATTATATATAATTAAATTTATATATGGCTAAGTATTGAACTGTTAATGGAAAAATATTTTCATTACAGCAAAGAAACACAGAATTGATCTATAATAATAACAGAATAGAATGAAATAATAACTGCTTGGTACCTAATTAAGAAATGATTTAGAATATAAAAATATACCTATCAATCAGACTGGCATTCTGCCATGATAAGTAGGTAATCTTTACTATAACAAAATAAACACGTATAGCGTCTGTCTTTCATTATATTCCAAAAGGATATAAAGGAATTTAAAATAACCATTTATAACGTCAGCCTTTCATTACATCGTAAAAGGATATAAAGGGATTTAAAATAATTGAATTATTTATTACTGAAATTATTTGCGAAAACTAACAGACTGACTAACACCGCGTTATCAAATCTCAAAATGGTTACAGGCTCCTCGGGGAGGTATGCAGATCTGCAGTCAATTATTGCTTAGTCTGATGAAGTGATAAGCAATAATCCAGTCAACGCGTAAAGAGGGGTTTCAATAATACCTCGAGTTAAGAAAGAGTAAAAGTGCTTAAGTGCACTGGCTCAAACAGCTTCAACATAATAATAGATCTTATATCAGATCTTATATTATATTAGATATTATTTTATATTAGATCACATAAGTTCGTACTGCACAATAGTTAAATGAGGTATTATTAGAAATTAGTGAGTTTATGGATTGCTATCTATGAACTAAATTAAAAAATTCATAAAATACGTCATTTTAATATTAATTACTTTATTAGGACATATTCAGAAATCTCTCTTGATTTATAAATTTATTTTTTGTTTAGGAGCCTTTTTAAGTTAACCTGTCAGTTTATTTTTTTTTTTGTAATAATAATAAGTGAACACAACGCAGTGATTAATTTTTATTTTAGTGAAAAGTTTTAAAGACATTAGAAAAATATACCAAAATGATAATTGTATCATATAACTCTCTTAGAATAGATCCGGTCAAAAAATACATAAGGGACAGAACCCTGAAGCTATATGCGAAAACCGTCAGACTGCCCTACTTAGCACTATCTAATCTCAGAGTAATCACCAACCGCATCCACCCCGCGCAAACGTTAGATCAGTCATTGAATAATCACGAAGCTTATGAGGAATACACAAATTAGTCAGTGAGATGGGTGGGACTCTGCAGAAATCCCCCAGCTATCAAAGAGTAAAAGTGCCCAGATGCACTAACCCGGAAAAGCCTCAACATAATTATATAACTCTTCTACTTCATTTTGAAAAACTGTGTGTCTTTTTCAATTAGATATGCAACAGCTGTAAAGATAAGAAGAAAAAAGTAACAACTGAACACTTTTTTTGCAAACGCATAGGTCTGGAGAGATTGAGATATTCCGCTACGGATCTTTACGACCAAAGGAGGCAGACATAAATTTTTTAAAAAATTGTCTGCTTTATAAATCGTGCAGATTGGTTTTTAAACTTAATAGGTCATGACTAAATATATAGTAACAAAAATTGTCTATGTGCTACTTGTTACTAAATATTCTCTTCTACTTTTTTGTCTAATTGGACAGAAGAGACAAACAAAACCAACGAACCAAAATTATTGGTACAGTAAAAAATCCCTTATTAAATAACAATTTTGCAAACTTATTAACAGCCCATAGTATACTACATATACCATACTATAGTATAATAAAATAAGAATTATTCTAGCCATGTCTGTCTGTTAGTTTCCATGAAACTTTGTGTGAGTCCAGACGAATTAATTTTGAATATAAAGAGAATCGGTTGACACTATCATCTAGAGGCTATTCAAAATTACTATCTAGAATAAGTTTATATTTATAAACTTAATTGTATTGAATTAAAAAGAAATAAAAAATTTTAAAATATACTAAAATTTTTTAAAACATTAAAGAGTATATCCTTACATATTATGTTTAAATAGAGGATATTACACGTTTGAGTAACCTCAAACCTAGTGTGGGAATGCCTTCTACTTCTCAAAGACCTTGCTAAAAATAACAAAGTCCACTTAATATGGATTCCAGGGCACAGACTGATTAGGATAATACAATTGCCTGCAGACAAGCCAAAGAATCCATGCCATTTCGATCAAAAGTCAGAACTAGGGAGCTACTTATGCTGAACAGAAGTGGTATCCGACTTGTCACAGGATTCCTCACTGGGCACTGTGGAGTTAAAAAGCATCTATCGAATCTAGGTATTACTAGAGACGATAGCTGCAGACTTTGTTGCGAAGAAGAGGAAATAACAGAACACATTTTGTGTCACTGTGATAGTCTTGCCAGACTCAGACTTCGGTACTTATCCATTGCCTATCCGGATATAATGGAATTAGGCAACATCTCTGCAAAGGTTATATTGGCATTCTTAACAGCTACTCGTCTATGGAACTGAAGTGAGTATGTCACAATAATCCTCAAAGGATGCAGTGACGCGGTGACAAGTTCCTAACCCATTTCAAAAATCTAATCTAATCTAATATTCAAATTAATGGGTAAATAAATTTACTAAAAATATGCGTTGCTTACTTTATTTTTAATCACTGACTATACGTATGTGGTTGACTCAAAATATTTATTATTATAAATTATTTATTTAGAATATTTCAAATAAAATTAATTAACTTTTAATTATTTTTATTATATTTCTGTATTTCTTTGCTTCATTATTATATACATTTTCGAAATATTCATTATGAATGCAAAATTTTCATTTTTCATATTTTAAATATTTAATTTGCTGCCTGCCTTATATAAATTCAGTTAAAACATAGTACTATAAATAATTCCAATAAGAAACTATACATTTTGTTAATAAAAAAAAAAATTTAGTATTTAATATACATTAAAAAACTGTAATTTTTCGCTACACACATATTTCAAAAATTTAAAATTTAATGCACAAATTTCAATTTTGTTTAACACTTAACATTTATAATACATTTTTATAAAAATTAATTTTGTTTTCAATTTATTAGAGTCAATATTATATATATATATTAATACCTAAAATTTCTATAATATACCTATTTAATTCTGATGTTGTTATACAATTAATTTTTTTTGCTTCTTAATTTTAATTTTGTTTTTCCAATTTGAAATAATATATTATAATATATATTTGGAATAATTTACAACTTACCGGCATGCCTGAATCGACTTGACCGAAACGTGTATTTCGCCATGATTCTAATATCAGAAAACCTGCATATATCTTTCCCACAGATAATTTTCCCTTATTCAGTTGGTCGATGGGTGGCACTAGTAAATCTAACATTTTCTTGGCCTGTAACGGCCAAATATTTGTTATTGTTTCCCTAAGCTCAGAATCGGCCTGATCCATCTCTTCAGCTGTTTGGAAATAAATATTTATTACAATATAGTTGTATATATATATATCAAAAAGCATTTGTGTTAATATACTTTTTCATGAAAAATATGATAAAAAAAAATTTAGCTTACCCGATCTCATCTTAATACTTAAATTTTCTCTAATCAATGCAAACAAAGTCGTCGTAAATTGTACTCTCAGTTCGTCATCAAGTGGCATATTCATACGTATTAATTTTTTGTAGGCGAGGCGATTGGGACATTTGTTACCGAACCCCAGTGGAGGATCCATATTCTTAAGCATATCGTACATTTCCGTATAATGTATTCTACCACTAAATACGATTTCATTTTTAAATTTTGGTTTTTTTTTCGTACGATTTTTGGCAAGTGTTTTTCATTTAGTTGAAGATACAAAAAAAATATATCGATTAATATCGAAATAGGGTTATAAGTCTTATATATTTATTTTGTGGCATATATACAATGCATGTTAAGCAAAAGGACACATTTAAGACATTTAAGACAGTTAGTACAAAAGTCTACTTAGGATAATACACATATAATATACTGACGTGGAAAATATTTAATACAAAAGAAGAAGATTTACCAAAAATAAAAAGGAAAGTGTAGTTGAAATAATTAATAAGTTTATAACGATATAATTACTGAAATAAGCTAAAGGTACAAATATGAGCAGGAATAAAGTAGTAGATCAGCGTAAAGCTTTTAAAGGCATTTAATTTACTTTGGCAATATTAAAAACAATTTTCTTAAAAGAATCTTTAAATAGTAACTTTTAACAAATAACTTTAGTTATAAATTTACCTTTCCTTCAAAACCATTTATAATATGAAACAAATACGATCAAATAATAATCATTTAATATAAGAAAAATACATAGATAACATAAATAATGCCTTAAGACCTGCCCAATTTGTTTGATTTTTATAAATAATTTAAAAAAAAATAAATTTAAAAAAAATAAAAAATTACTACAACAACCTAATAAATTATATTCTAATTTACACATTTAGAACACTTATTAAATAGTTAATATAAAAATTAAAATTAGCTTAAATACAAAAATAATTTAATTAAAAATACTTAAGTGCATATTGTTAGTATAAATTACCGAAAAAAAAAATATTTATTTAAAAAGCACAACAATTGTAAAAAAAAATTAATCAACTTTTATAAAGAAAAATTTTAAAAAAGATTTATTATATAAAATTTATATTAAATTGATAATTACGTCGCATTTGGATCATATTCAGCCCATATCCGAACAAATTCGTCCAAATGATGGGCACCCAAAATACTGGAGTCTCTTGTTAAATAATCAAAATTATCCATGATAACAGCAACGAATAAATTCAACATTAAAAATGAACAAAAAAATATAAAAGATACAAAATACGCGTAAGCCAGCGTAGAGCCGCATGTTTCATTGCCCTTCTCGGCTTCCTCATCACATGGTTTCCCCTTAAGGCACGCCAGCATAATGTTCGGCCACGCCTCGCCCGTTGCACATCTACAAAAATTTTATTAGCAATGTTTTATATAAAATCATAATTTTACAATATTTATATATATGCATATTTTTAAGATTAATTAATTAATTAATTAATTAAATTTATTTATTTTTTAAATACACTAAATTAATTTTTACAAACGAATTGTCTACTTTAAAAATTTTGCATCTTTATAATTTAATGAAAAAAAAATATATATACTATTTAACAGGGAAAATATTCTAATAAAAATCTCAACGCTAATTTTAGAACATATAAAATTTTTTATATACAAATGTTATATTAAATATATATAGTACTTTTATGTTAAAACATTATATAAATACTAAAATCAAACTAGTGAATGAGTTTTTTTTTTTAATTCCACAAAAAAATTTGAAATTTTGCTTGCCAAATTGGTTTTTTTAATTCAGAGCCTCTGTTACATATATATGTATTTTGATTCTGTAAAATAGCACGTATTAAGCTTATTACGAATGTCAACCTACACATTCCAACAATCTATTTATATTAATTTAATATGAAGTACAGTGAAATTAAGAAATCTTATCATTTATTATCATTTTACTATATTTTATTTATTTGCAATATCATGATTATTATTTGTTTATATTTTATTTTATTTATTTTATTTTATATTTTATTTTTATTTTAATTAAATAAAATTATTATGTAATTAAATTTATATATAATTAATTATTTAACAGAATTTAATTTTTTGGACAATTCAATTTTTTTTAATTAAAATTATTTTACTTTAATTAAAATAAAAACCTTTATCATCAATTATAATTTTAAAACCCATTTAATTAATAGTATCCTCCTTTTTTAATAAGAAGAATTATTATAAAATTTATTATAAAAAAAATTTATTTTATTACAATTTTAATTTTATATTATTAATTAATTTTATATTTTTTATTTTAGATATTATTTTAGATTAGAATGTTACGGTAATTCTAGGAATCATTGGTTCTCTTCTATTCATTATGAAATATTATTTAGTTTACAATTTTAGGAAGTTGTTGTTCCACTTCTTTCTTGGCTAGAGCTATAGCTAAAGAATGTGAATAACGACAAAACTACATGAACAGTTGTTAAACCAAATACAATATATGCAAAAATTGTTCGGAGTGATTAAATAATACATTAAAAAAAAATAAATAAATAATTAAAATTATGAAGTACCGACAAAATAAAATTTGCGTAATTGTTGATTTTTACTGTGTTTTTTTATTGAAGTATTAAATTATTTAACCCAATCCAGCACACATTTTTCATAGGCTGATCCAAGTAAGCACCTCAATTTCTCCGAAATGTTGATTTAGATTCGGGAAGAGAAAAAAAATGACAGCTGAGTGCGGTTCTTATTAAGTCCGAACACTTCTTAATAGAATGTGTAAGATTTCTTGGGCTATAAAAATGTATTTAAGTTGAATATATGGAGCTGACATATAAATATTTTTCAGAAATAGTTTAGAAGCCATACAAAGAAAACTTTACTATCGTTGTAATAGTTAATAATACGGTATAATCGAAAATAATTGAATTTCAAATATAGCTACTTAATTTAAAAAAAGAAGATACTTCATTTAAAGAAATTCATTTCTTTTAAAATTAGACAGAAGAAACTACTTCCCATTAGTACTTTATACGTTTATGTGTAAGAAGTATCCAATTAAATGAGTTCTCATTGAATATGTATTATTAAATATAATTATTAAAAATTCTGTTAAAAATCTTATAAGTAAATCTGTCATCATTTCTGTGTTATAGTTTTGAGTTTTCTTATGGCAATGCCATTCTATGTGGTGTTGAGTTTTGCTTAGTCATTATATATGTATATCCTGATTACTCAAAAACTGCAATAAATTTCTCCAGATTGTAACTGAAAACAGAAAAATTTATTAGCCAATCCTTATTTTTTTTTTTAATTCGTTTTAATTTTAGTTTTTTATTTTTTAATTTTTATTTTGTAATTTTTATTTTTTAATTTTTAATTTTTTTTTTTTAATATTTATTTTTTTTTTTAATATATGTTTCTAATTTTTATTTTTTTTATTTTTTAATTTTTATTTTTTTTTAATTTGAATTTTTTATTTTTATTTTTTTTTTTGATATTTATTTATTAATTTTTATTTTTTATTTATTAATTTTTATTTATTAACTTTAATTTTTAATTGTTTTTTTTAAATTTTAATAATATTTTAAAATTTAACACTATTAATTACTCATAAGTCATAAAAATATAATTAAATAAACTTAATCATATAAAACTATTTTTTTTTTAATATATATTTTTTAATTTTTATTTTTTTTATTTTTTAATATATAGTTTTTTTTAATTTGAATTTTTTATTTTTTTTTTAATATTTATTTATTAATTTTATTTTTTATTTTTATTAATTTTTATTTATTAACTTTAACTTTATTTATTAACTTTGATTCTTTTCTATTTTTTTCAAAATCATTTATTAAATTATAATTAATGCAATCTCTTAGAAAAATGGTACCTTTTTGATTATTAAAATTAATTACTAGTTGTTGAAAAGTTAAACGTTTTTGTATTGCAATAGAAAGATTCGATTCTTAATCTACAATATTTTTTTTTCAATTTGTAATTAATATTATTATCAATCTAAATAAAATTTTAAAATTTAACAGTTCCTATTCGTTGTTATAAAATCATTATTTATAGAAAAGTGAAACTGAAAAAATAAAAACTTATTCATATAAATTTAATTTGTTTAACTAATTTATTTGATCATTTTTAAAATTTTAAAATTTATAAAATGAAATATATTGTTATTAAAATTATTAAAAAAAAAATTAGAATTATTAAAAAAATATAAGAATTTCAAAATTTATTAATTCTTATAAATTACTATTTATTTAAAAGTAAAACAATATTATTTATGTAATATTGATTCTTTAAATTTATTTCTATTTTTTTTATACTTTTTAATTTATAATTAACGAAATGATTAATGGAATTGTATGTTAGTTTTTAACATTTATTATTAAATTATTATTAAAAAATTATTTGTTATGATTTTGTAATTTCACTGTAACTTCACAAATAGTTCCGTATTCAAAAAATTTTATAATTTAAAATAAAAAATATTTGGGAGCAATATTAACAATAATATGTAACATTTTACAACTTTAGTGCAATATGAAACTATTTATTTAAATCTTAACAATGTTTAAACAATGCAAGCACATTAATATAAATTAATTAATAATTGTTTTTGATATATTAAATGAACATGAGTTGAAGTGTTGATGTGTTTTATTGCTGAAACAGTTTATTTTCAATGCACATAAAATATAATAAAAAAATTGTTCTAAGCTATTAAATATTTTAATTTCCCATTTTCTATATAAAAACTATGATTAAATTCTAAAAACTAGTCCCCCCACTAATTACCTATATATATGTAGAATTATATACTATAATTCAATAGCCTAAGGCCTGCTTTAGATATACTATAATTTTTTTTTTTTGTAAATTCTATGCCCAGTAAAATCTAAGTTTGCTAAAAACATATTTTGTTTTTAAACTGATAAAATAGAAATTTTATTTTTATTTTGTTTTTTGAGAAGTATTTAAATATATTGTTCTGTATTGGAATACTTTTTTTACATACCTGAAGAGCAACATGACGCCTTGTATAAATGATTGGAAGTTGTTGTGCCTAGTAATAGAATTTTCCACTGTACCTAGTTTGATATTTCCAAATACCTATGCACGTATCGAATGTGTTGGTAAAATTTTAGTTAAGAAATATTTAATTTTTTTCTAATTGTAATATAAAATAAAAACGTATAAAAATATAATCCAAAAAGATTTAACTCAAAAATGTTTGGGTGTTTGTGTTGATGTTAGTCGATTTTTTAAAATTAAATAAACATTAAAAAAGATACAAAATTTTTATATAATTCCAAATAATACTGTAAGCTTACTACTAACTACAGTAAACTCTCACAAACTGTTCGGGATGGGATTTATTTATTTATGTAAGTACACATTTTCTGTATTAGTTGAAAAATGTGATAAATTAAAAATTTAACTAAATTCAACATAATCTGCAATATAATAAATTAATTTTTTTTTTTTGTTATTTAACTCTAACTGGGAAATAATTTGCTTTTACTTGGGAGCAGTGAGCAGAAACTTAACAAAATGTTTTTATATATTTTGACGTATTTGGTACTATAAAAATAATTGAATTGAAAAAATTTAATTTTAAATATTAAAAATATTAACATACTTTAATATCGATTAATAAAACTATTTAAATGATTTTTTTAAAGTTAACAGCATTTTAGTAAGAAAAACATCAAAAGCATTTTTATTCGATTATTAATATGTAGTATTTTTTTTTCTCACTTTTTTTTATTATTTTATTTTTATATTAGTTAAGCTGCTTTTAGATTTTAATAATATTTTTATTTTTCAATTTATGATTTTATTTATATTTTAAATTTTTCGATTTAATATCTTTGTTGGCTTTTTTATTATGATATGAATCAATTTTTATTTTGTTTAAAATTCAATCAAAAATATTATTTTATTTTTTTTTAAATAAACCATTTTTTTATTTAAACAATATATATTTATTTCTATTTTTATGCTACTATTATTATTTCCACAGTTTTTAATATTTTTATTATAACGGCTTTCATTGTGAATTAATTTTAATTAATAAGTTTTTTTTAAAATCAAAATATTTGAAGAAGTTTTACATTTGAATTATATTTCTAGTATATATAATTCTATTTTATATGCTATAATTTTTATTTATATAATGTTAATTTTATGGCAAAAAGAGACTATTTATAAGTTAAAAGAGTTCGAACAGTAGTGAAGAAACAACACCAAAATAATGATAATAAGTACTTGGCAATACTCGATACAGCGTTGTATGGTCAGCCCAATTTCAATTAATTAATTAAAATATTTTTGTTGTTGTTTCTTCATTACTGTTTAAACCCTGATATTATTTATAGGTGGGTTTTATATTATTTTTATAATAATATCGTTTATACTGAATTAATATATGAAATAAATTTTTTTTTAAAATAAAAATTTTAGAAGTATATTTATATTTGAATTATATTTTTTTGTTTTATTTATAAAATTAAAATTAGTGATTTTATTGAAATTAATTATATTATATTTGAATTATATTATATATTTTATTGAAATTAATTATATTAAAGATAAAAAATTATATTAAAAATTATTATAATTATATTTGTTATAATTTTTTTTAGGTTATTTCTAGGTAAAACTTCATATAATTATCTATACATTTACTATTTATATTATTTATGTATATATATATTTTTTTATTTATAAAATTTTTTTAAAAACAAATATTAGAAGTACATTTTTTTTTGCTTAATTAACGACTATTATCAATTTTTTTTTTTTTAATTAATTATATTTAAGATAAAAGACTGAGACTGTATAATTACTATGTATTATAATCACAATTTGTTATTATTATCACTAAATTATTTTTTAGCTTTATATATGATTATGTATCTATTTTCATTTTATATTTCATATTTATTATTTCTACATTTATAACATTTTTGCTAAATTATATTTAATGTTGAAACTCTTATCAATAATTTTTTAAATTTATTTTAATAAAGTATTTATTTTTAAATACTGTGATTAATTTTTTTTTTTTGTTTTGTTAATGAACTAAATATTATTGATTTTATTTTAATTAATAATAATAAAGATACTATTATTTTTATTGATTGTATTTTTATTTATTATTATTATTTATATATATTGTTACAATATGTTATTATGTTTTATTAATTAGTCTAATAATTTTAATTATATATAAATTAATATATATATTATTATTATATATATATCTATATTATTATTATTTAGTATTAAAGTAACTATATAATTATTTTATAAAATGTTTCATGAGATTAAAGATGATAATTATATTATTATATTTGTTTTTATGAAATATATAGTTAAAAATGTGAAGAGGAATATATATATTTAATTACGTTTTTACACATAATGCGATTGCTTAATAATGTATTTTTTTTTTTATCTTTTATAGTACCAAATATTTCAAAAATGTCATTTAGATTATAATTAAATTTTGTGTTTCGGTTGTTAAAACTGTACTAAATTTACTTTAAATATTCAATAAGTGGAATTTGTAACTAGTATTAGGTATATATAAGTATATATATATTGATGTAACATTTTTTTTTAACTAAATTGGGGATACAAACAAAATAATAATATTACTTGTATATACATTAAGAAATTAATACAATTAATTTTTTTTTTTCGGAATAAATATCTAGTAACATTTGAATTGAACTTGTAACTTATACATATAATTGCATTCATTCAAAAACGATTTAATATTACTTTCAACATTAAAAATTAAACTGATTTTTAATTATATAAACGCTAACAAATTTATATATAATATTTAATATCTAACTACTGATAACAATTCTCAAACTGTCAACCCTCAATAAAATAATGATAAATCAACTTCAAAATTGCAACTCAACTATTTTAACAACTATCTTTTAATGGTAAATTAATTAATAACTTTTATATTATATTATTTTATAATCGTTTACTTTAATTAATTAAAATTTAAGTACTTTTTAAATAATTACTTTGTTTTGCAATACTTTGTTTTAATCAACATTTTTTACCGAAAAAGCAGCATGATTCCTCCCGAGAACGATTGAAAATTATTGTGCCGGTTGAGTTGTGTATCCGGATCATATTTAATATTTCCAAAAACCTTTTTCGTATATACAATACAATTTATATATACATACATAGTTTGCAATGATACAGATTATTATTTTAAATGTGTCTTATTTTTATATATAATAATGGTAAGAACTTATTTATTTATTTTTTTTTTTTTTGTTTTAATATTTTTACTTGTGAGAATTGTATTAACATATAAACTAAACTATTATCATTTCTATTATTCTATGTATTTTTTCTATTTATATTATCTATTGGAATATTCTAAATTTAATGGTTTCTGCATATAATAATTAAAATGTATTATAATTATGTTTGAATGGAGTAATATTAGACTTTAATTAAAAATGTAGAGAAAAATTTTTTAATTATTTTGCACTATCATTTATTTCTTCAATAACAATTATATTTTGAAAACCAATCAATATTGTGAATTACCTTATGGATAAAAGACAGATATAAATACGAAGAAACAACAATTTAAATTATTTCTAAAAATATATGAATTTATTAAAAGAATCTGTGTACAAGTACACAAGGTACAAGGTCTCTTGAAACACTATATGCATATACTCAAAGATATCCATATATCTTAACCCTTCATAACCCATGCGATTATTATATATCACACCATAAAATTACGATTAAGATGAGTTTGATTCAATATTTCGAATATATTGGATTTATATATAAGTACATATATACATAAAAACTATTGACATCGTGGAAAGCATGAACTCATCATAAACATAACGACTTATTATGTTTAATAACATTATACGATAAAAACAATATATCTACATATCTTAACCCTATGTATACCCATATGACAGATGTGTCACAAACCATGAAATGATGATTAAAATGAGTTTAATTTAATATTTTAAATATGTAATTACTATTGAAATAAATATGAAGTAATTACTATTGTTTAAAATAGCAAACAAATCATAAATAAGGAAATGATTTATTTCGGCTTTAGAATGTTTAAACGGCACAAGTTCCATTCAAAAACTTTTTTAACATATGTTGGAGGTATATAGACCTACAACCAAAAAGGTGGACAAACTAATTCGTGATATCTGCACACAAACAAACTAAACTCATTTAATATATATTTAGTAATTATTATTATATTATTAATCGAAATCAACCTTGAAATCCTAGGTAGGACACAGGAATAAATTCATCTGTTAAAAATTTCTTTTTAATATAGTTATAGACTATTTATGGACCATAATAATATAAACTCGTATAATATAAACCCATATAATATAATAAAGAAAGACCATTGCTTAACATCAAATTATTGTGTTGTATTCTCATATATGTCTTTATTCAATCTCTTCGGCAAACGATTAAACGATTTGTATAGATTTTGTATGAAAAATTCAGCACATATTGCATTTAGCGAGTAAAGTACAATAGTCTAAACATAGCATTACATGCTTAAAATAAAATAGTGGAAACCGGTTTTGCAATGTATTTTGCTATTGTATCATTGTCTTTATTTACTTAAATATATTATGCTTCCTTACTCGGAAACATTCCAATATTGAAGGGGATGAACTAGCAGATAAGATGGCCAGAAGAGGTTCTGAACTGCATACAAGAGAGGCCGACCTCTTAATACAAACATTGATATGCGAATTGATTAGAATATTAGAGAAAATCACCAATACAGTGACTAACAATTTACAAATCACCGCAAAGACTGTGAGGTCGCTAGAACCTTATCACCTAGTATGGACAAAAATAAAACGAAGTCTTTTAGGTTTTAGCATACCTGCAGTTCGTGTACTTACTGGAGTACAAACGGGGCACTGTGTCTATGCTCAAACGGTGGCGAGTTCCAATAAGTGAATTATGCAGGAGTTGCCAAGATGAAGAGGAGGTACAATCCATCAACGACTTTCTGTGTCTCTGTCCAGGACTGCAGACAAGATGACTTCAATGTCTTGGAAATTGCTTTTTCACTGGCTTGGTAGAGATAACGAAAGCAAATTTATCGGAACTCCTCAAGTTCATCTGGAAAACCAAATCATTTAACAAGGATAACAAAGGTTAGCAACACGCTTCTCCCGGCAAAATTTTTGAGTGCTTCATAATTGGCAATATATGCCTCCGAGTGGAAGTGCTGACAACTGTAAGCAGACGCCTTCTGTATATTCATTTAAAATATATGTTTAAGTTTTCATAGATTAATGAATTTTGTTGTTAAATAAACTTAATTTATCATAATCCTTGTTTTTAATTTTTGTATTACTATTGAGTTTTATATGAAAGGCATACATGAATATAGTTTTTTAATTAGTAAATTTAAATTCATTTGTTGATAAAATTCCTTCACTCTCTACAACATTAATACATTTGAAATTTCAATGTTAGATCCCTCGACTCTGGCGTTATATGCTGACGAAACGTGTATGTTATACTCAGATAAATGCGGTCTCAACACACTTCAAGCGCATATAAACCTCATTCTGGAGTATTTCCAGAAATGGAAAATAAAAATTAATAATGAAAAAACTAAGGCTCTGATTATTACACGTAAGTGGAGACAGAGTCCGTCGAGAGTGAGAGTGCGAAATATGGTAATAAACTGGGAGGATAGCGTTAATATATCTTCATCACGTTGGACAAACGATTGACATGGCTTAAACATGTTCAACTGAAAAGAATTAGTTGTGCTAAAATTCTTCATCACCTCCAACCGCTATTCAGAAATGAAAATCTTAATGCTAAGAACAGGAAGCTAATATAGGTATAACCAAATAATTCTTCCGTCACTTCTATATGGATGTGTAGCGTTTAACAAAGCTTCGAACGCTACTATTCGACAGCTACAAATTGCAAAAAGCCAGGCTATGAGAAGACTTTTCAAGATAACATGGTACATTAGAACGAATGATATCCTCAGGGACCTCAAGATTGATTCGATCAAAAATTACATAAAGGATGGAGCTCTGCAAACTGACAGGCTTACCAACACCGCGTTATCGAATCTCAAAATGGGTACAGGCTCCTCGTGGAGGTATGCAGATCTGAGGTCAATTATTGCTTAGTCTGATGAAATGATAAACAATATTCCAGTCAAGGCGTAAAGAGGGGTTTTGAAGATCATCATCATTTTGACATCACAATCCAGGATAGACCATTGCTTCCTCTACAATACGCCTCCATTCTTCTCTGCATTTCACTTTCTTTCTGTGTTGTGTTATTCTCGTCGTTCGTCTTGTAACTATCTTCGTCGCGGTCATCCGCTTTTTCTACTCCCCTCTGGCTTTGTCTCGAAAATTTTCTTAGTCATTCCTTCGTTACTCATTCAAGATTTTGAAGATACCTCGAGTTAATAAAGAGTAAAAGTGCTCAAGTGATGATAAATATTAAATATTACATATATTATATGCAGGAACCATTAAAAACTAAATTGTTTATGACTTCTATTCAAGTTTTTTATATAATAATGCTAATAGCTAATATTTGTATATTATTATGAGTCACCTAATTATTATATCTAAAAGTTGTGACTTAAACTTAATTTAAAAATATTAAATTTGTATATAACTTTGTAACAAATACTAATAGCTAAAAAATATGATAGATTAGTCTTAAAAAATAAAAAAAAATAATTTGTATATCTATCCCTAAAGGATGAACCTAATAAATCTGTGAAACACTCTTATTTTTGCTAAATTTCTATTTGTTTAAAAACACCTAATGTTCTAAAAAATAATTTAATTATTTTATAATATGATTATAAAACATAAAACTTGTATGTTAATATTAATGTTGAAATAAGAACTTAATATACTCAAGAAATATAATTTCGTTAAATGAAAAATAATATTAAAAAATAATATAAATATATATTTTTATATAAGTATATGTATATATATATATATATATAGTGGAAACTCACCTGCATGCCGATAATGGCATAAATAAAAAATAGCATAGCTATTAGCAAACAGACATACGGAAGTGCTTTGAATGATTGTACGAAAGTCCATAGAAGGATTCGTATTGTGTATCCTTGTCGGAGCAATTTTATCAAACGTGCCGCACGAAATAAACGCAGGAAGCCAACGTTGATTGAGTTCGACTGTAAAATATTTGTGGTCAAGAAATGAGAGATGCATTAGTGGCATTTCAGGTGTATCTGTGCAAGTGTAGTTTTTCGTACGTTGATTTTACGTTGATGTTAGTACGTTCACCGTATATAACAACGTTCTTAAATTTTATTTTCATTTTAAATTAATTTAATTAATTTAAGTAATTTAAGTAAATTAGGTAATAAAAAAATTTTACAAAAAATTGATTAATTGTTTAATTGATTGATTGAATTGATAAAAAATACAGTCAATTTTATAAAAGTTAGAAAAATTTTTATTTAGTTACTAATAAATAAAAAAAGAATTTTACAAATTTTCTAATTTACACACCAATTATTTTAAGAGCCAAAAGAAAAAAATTATATGTTAGTAATACATTCGCAAATTTGTTTAAGTTCAATTGTGTCGTTGCAGTTTCATTTTCTGTGGTTAGTCAAGAAACAACTTATGAGTTAATCTTAAAGCCAATGCAAATACTTATCGATAAATACAAACATAAAAATTAAATTTTTGAAATAATTTGAAATTTTGTTAACATTTTTCAAAAAAAAAAAATCTCAGCGTTGAAGTCTTTTGTTGTTTGATTGTTGATTTTTTAATACCAGTTTGCGTATGTAAAAAATTTAATTTATAACTAAAATTGTTTTTGGTATTAAAAAATGTTTGACCAAAATATTTTACGCATCAGCTAAACGCTAATGCAAAGACGCATACCGCCTCGCAGTGGCCTCTTCGCGTTGAATACTCAACATTTTATAGTTGCAGTGCAACATGTTTCTGTGAAACTTGGAAACTTGTTGCAGAGCAACTTGGACGCATTACGGCATGACGTAGCTAACTTAACATAATTCAATATGTTTAATTTGCATTAATTTGTTTGTTTTTCAATTGACTATAAAAAATTTTTATTTATTATATAGAAAATATTATATTTTAAATAAGACTATATATAGTACAGAGGAGTATGCAAAGAAAAAACTACTTGAAAATCTATTAGCAAAGATTTTATTAGCTTAGTTTAGTTTAGATCGGTGTATAATATATAGTAGTAAAAATCTACACTCTGAAAAATGACTAAGATCATCAATAAATAAATCTAGTTTTCCTAAAATTGCATCATGGTACAAAAGGAGGAATTAAAAAAATAGGTTATTAGCGGAAAAAGACCTTTAAATTAATACAATTAGTTTCACTTTAATGGCAAGAAATGAAAAATATATTAAAAAAATTAATTAATTAACAATAATATTCAAATATAATAACTATATCAACAATAAAACATCATAGTTATGATATTAAAAAATTATTATGATTTGCCTAATATCAATGCGTCATTATCAATAATCAATAATATCAACAATAATCATTATAATTTTTTAAATATCATCAATATTATTCTGGATTATTTTTCAATTACTACAATGCGTTGCGGTTACTTTTAGAAGTGGCATAACACGATTTTCGCTTCGTGATCATTTTCAGTTATCCATAACGCGTTCTGTATATGTTATTACTCAATGTGCATTATCGGTTTTTGAATCCTAATATTATATATTGTATTTTAACTTCAACTGGTTGGCAACAAAGTTACTATACATAGACCTCCGGGTCCGTAGCGATGAACTTGAAACTTTAACTTATACTATAAATGAAAATTAAAATTATTAACATAAAATTTTGTGACTCAAACTATTGTGTTTTCCATAGTCTATAAATTGTCAATTGTATTCTTTGAAATATTTTTATGTGTAATGATTTTTAAAATTATCAGTACTTTATCAGAACTATCAGCACTGAATTAGCTGAAGTTTAATAATAAACTCCGTTCAGATAAAAAGTTTAATTTATTGTCGAATTGAAATATCTAGAATTTAAGTGAGAGAAAAATGCTTATTTAAATTCACTATTAAAATTAAAAATTTATCAATGAATTCAGTGATATTCTTCGTAACGTTACAATTTTTTTAAGTATCTTAATAACCTTATCTTCGTCAACCTAATTTAATATTTCCCATAGGAATATTAATTTAACTATAACTTAATTACTTATTTAATTTTCGCCTTTTTTCCCATTTTTAACAGAAAACTTACTATTTTCCCATCTATCGCAGCTATCTTCTTCAAATTAATTACCAATTTCGTTAAAATGAAAGTTTTATTTATATTAATAATATTTAAAAATTAAAAAATGATCTAAATCTCGTGAAAAGTCTACATTAACCATTAAAGTCGATTTTAATATTTATTAAAATATTAATTTTGATTTTAATAATTAGTAAAAGGAAATGACCTATATATTTGTATTCATACCAGTAATAAAAATGACAAATATTCTAATAAAATCTAATTGATTTTAAATGAAAATTTATTTTCAACAGGAAATATAAAAATAACAAATAAGAAATAAAAAATAAAAATAAAAAAAAATATTTAAAAAAAAATAATAATAAAAAAAAAATAAAAAAAAAATAGTAATAAAAATAAAAAATAATAAAAAAAAAAAATAATATAAAAAAAGTAAAAAAAAATAATAATAAAAAAAAATAAATAAAAAATAAAAAAATAATAATAAAAAAAATAAAGATAAATAATAAAAAAAATTATAAAATTTGTGTTTTGTCGTTTTCAGAATAAATAAAAAAAAAGATATAAAAAAAAATTTAAAAAAAAAAAAATAAAAATAAAATTAAAAAAAAAATAATTTGAAAAATAATAAAAAAAATAGAAAAAAAAATCAAATTATAAAAATTATTTGTTTGTCATTTTTCAGAATAAATATAATAAATATAAAAAATAAATAAAAAGACAAAAAATAAAAAAAAAAATTTCAATATATAAAAATGAAAACTTTGAAAAAATAATTTTTAGAAACTAGCAATATTTCTGTTGATTACTAATTAAATATAAAAAAAAATAAAAACCTAAAATTATAAAAATTTTTTTTCGTTGTCGTTTTTTAGAATAAATAAAAATTAAAATAGAAATAATAAAAATTAAAATTTTTTTTATAAAACAATTAGTAGACAGAGGGAATATTTATATTAATTATTTACTATGTGTTAAATCTTTATCGTTGTTATATTTTGTATATTAAAAAATAATTGTTAAATTTTTCCATATTTTTATGAAATAATTTAAATTTATTAAACCATAATTAAAGAAAAAACATATGGTAATAAATTGCAATTATATACCATATTATTACAATATCAATAACAGATATTCCCAAAATATTATTTATATATACAAATAATTTTTTTTTAATTTAAAGTTCTTGCCATTAAAGTGAAAATTAAAAAAGGAGCTAGAGAGGTAGTTTTTTTACATATTGAGATCAATTTTATTACTTATTTGAGTTCTACCATTAATAAGAATTAAAAAAAAAATTATATCCTTTGAAAAATACTACGAGTTTTGAAATGTGCTCTGAGATATTTGTATTTCTAAGATATTTTTAATGCAATAAAATCGTAAAACTTTTTATAGTACAGTTAATATGCAAATAATATCTAAAATTGGTAATAATGCATACAAGCTTCCTTAAATAATTGTTGAAGGACTTTTAATTATAATCTATTAATTAAATATATTAAATGTAAAAAGTTTTTAAAGGTTATAATCGAAAATTAAAAATGTTTGTGTATAAAACTAACAATTATTCCTACATAAAAAAAAATTTTAAATTTTATAACTGTCACATAATACAAAAATAAAATAGCGAAAAATATTATTAGAATATTATTTTGTTTTAATTTTAATAACATATATAAATAATAATTAATGTATTATTAAATATATTTCACAAAAATTATTTTAATTTTATTGTTGTGTTATGTGACATGTTCAGATATACATTTTAATATATAAAAATTCTAAGATGGGGTGTTGTAAACTGTTCTTAAAAAAAATTAATAATTATCGCTACTATAAAATATTTTAAAAATAATCGAAAAATATTTCTATTCACTAATAATAAAGCTTATGGGTATTATAAAGAAGCTTAAAATATTTACTTCAATAACAAAATATTATTCATCATAGCAATAGAAAGGGGTTCATATTAAATTGTTACTGATTGTCTTAATAATAAATTGATTTTTACTTACATCCTGAAGATTTAGATATAATTGGATGAATTGCAAAGATTTTTGATTTTTGATAATTTTGTTTTATATATTAAATTAATTTCCAAAAATTATTGTTTACCATTTAAATTGTTGTAGTTGTTGGTATTGTTCGAATAGATATGGTAGTTGCATGATTTGACGTGTGTTAATGATGTTTTATTATGAATTTATATACATAATAATATATATATATATATATCGATATATATGTATGTATAATATATTTTTATTTAAACATGATTTTATTTTTGTCCAAATTTTATTAAATAAAGCACATTCAAGAATCATTTCAGGCATATTATATGTAGTAACGCATTCACATTATTTATATTTATTATATATATAGTTTTTTGTTTTGTTTTTTTTTTTTAATTTTTTTGTTTATAAAAATTTTAATTTTTTATGTTTTTCATAACAAATTTTGTTGTCGCCATATGTGCAGAACAATTATTTGAATGTTGCAGATGTTGTTGCCACAATTTTCATATTTTGTTGCGGATTGAAGTTGTTTTTTGATTTGTTTTTTTTTTATTTTTTTTTTTTTGAATTTATTTAAGTTTAAGATAAAGTGTTTTCATACATTATTTATGTATATTGTTTTGTGATTTTCGTTGTTGTCGAAAAAGAAGAAAAATGTATAAATTTTATTTGATTAATAAGTTTGTCAATTGAACAAATTGTTAGAAAATTTTATATATAGATATGTATAGTTTGAAATATTATATATTAGGACTAAACAATTATTTTATTAGCAACGCAACAGTACAAAACTCAATACGAATACGAATACAATTTTGTAAATACTTCAAAAATTAGCCATGAAAAACATTTAGGGATAATAAGCAAATCCAACTCCACGATACAGTAGAACAAATGCCAAAATTATTTATTTTCATATATAAAAAAGCAATAATTATCTTTTCTACTTTCTAAATTATGCAACTCTATGTATAGTGGATGTGGGACAACTGTATTTATATTTGGAAAACAATAATTTTTTTAAAACATAGCAATTCAACATCGATTCAAAAAAAAAAAAACAATATCAAGCATATATCTTTTTAATCTTTAATGAAATTTAATCTTATAGGACTCTGTGTTCCATTTGGTTCCATTTGAAATCAAAGAACATTGTTAGAGATACAACTTGATATCATTTTTAATTTTATTAACTTTAAATATAGATAATTAACACTATTTTATGCAACTTTCTAAAATATTTTCTAAATAACTCATTCAGCCTAATTGCTTATATATAAATTTTTTTTTATTATATTGTATATAGATAAAAATAATAGTTAAAGTAATTCTACAAATTAGAAATATAAATATAGTGTAATATAGGCTTTCTAAATTTTTAAAAATTTTTTTAAATAAATAAAACTAATAAAAAAGTGTGTGTAACATTAAGTTATATATAACAAATAGTAAAATACGTAAATAAATCATACTAAATAAATTAGTAATTAAATCAATTTATTAAAAAAATGAATAATATTCTCATATATTATACATATTGGCTTAACATTTATGGGCATTATATGGTATATATAATATAATAATATGCAATATAATATATATAATATAATAATATATAATATAATAATTTATAATATAATAATATAATAATATTTAATAAAGTAATATATAACATTTATATTTAATACAGTAATATATAATATATAAAAGAATGTTTATAATAGGCATATATAATTACTTCAAAAATTCTGAAATATTGTATAAGTATTATATATATTAGACAGTGTATGCTTTTTTTTTTTTAAAAAAAAATTTGACGTATTGTATAGCTTTAATAGCTTTACAAAAAAAAACATTTTTTTTATATATGGAGACGATGAAAAAAATTACCTATCTACGAAACGTTTATATACCTTTTATAAAACAAAATAAAATTATTTTAATTGCTTAAGTTACTTTATTATTTTAAAGCAATTAATTTTTATTTTGCTATAATTTATAATCCATCGCATAAGATCACAGATAGATTATAATAAAAAATTTTACGTAAAAAAAATTCTTCAAATATTCATTCAGAGTCTTTGACCAGAGTATATATCACATAGATAGAACTGAGAATTCTATCCATTTATTTACAATAATTCTGTTTTAAGTCCAGTATATAGAAAAGAAAAAATTAAAAATTTAATAAACAAATATTTTATATAAAAATAATTTTAAAAGAATATTTAAAAAGTAATCATTTAAGTTTTATTTTGATCCTCTCAAAATATTATATATAAAAAGGACTCTTGCTCGACTGATAAAACAATAATATAATAAAATTTAAATCAATTATTTAAAGTAATATTATATATTTAAATTAAATATTTAGTATAAGATATTTTAAATTTTAGCACAACTTTTTTTAAAGGTTGAAAAATATTATTTTTAAAAATTACTAATAGGTTTATTTTAGCCTTCTATTACCTATTATGCTATAGAACTTAAACTAATATGGAATCTGAAAGCTCAATATCAAAACTTAATTAATTTGAGCTATTAATACTAATAAAAAAAATATATTGTTATTAATATCATTATCTATCGTATATCATTATATAAATATAATTATTTACTTTATTATATTACATTTTTACAATATTGAACAATAATTTTAGCTTTGTTGTGCTTATTGTACAACCCATCAAAGTATTCTTTGTACATATTTAAAAAAATATACTTATTATTTACAGTAAATAAGAAAAAAATAATAAGACTTTAAAATTCATTTAACAAAAAATAATTTACATTGTGTTCATGTGTATATAAAAATACTAAAAATATATTATATAAATATATATAGTAGTTATTTCTTATATAATATAATTATATTAATGTAATAAATATATTTAATTTTACATAAAATCAAACTGTTAAAAATTGGTAAATTTGATAAGTTTAATTTTTTTATTAATTTATTTAAATTTTAAATAACTAAAACTATAACTTACCACATACGTCTGTATAAATTGTTTAATCACCTGAAATATTGTGGTAAAATCTGTTAAGTTATATAAAAATTTTTCATTTAAATGAATTGGAAGCATCAGCATAAAAGCGGCTATTTAATGCATCACCAAATACGAAGAACAGGGATGTATTTATTTGTATAATTTTTTTCCTTTTATTGTTAAACACACTTGAAATATAATATTATTTTAATTTTAAAACATTATTTTATTATTTTTTTTTAATTTCAAATTTATTTTGATATATTAATTTTATATATTTATTAATGATTTTAAATATATCTTTTACTGACGGATTTTGTTAACTTATCGCGGTAATTGCAGATAAAGGAGTTTAGACTATTATGTTGTCTCCTTAGGAGGTCCTGCTTAAGTGAATTATTAATTTTATTTTCTTTTTGGTTGATGACATAGTTCCTCAAAATAAGAGACAAATTTTTTAATTAACATGTCTTCTACTGGATTCACACTGGAGTTTTGTTTGTAATTTTAAATGTCAAAAATTTCCATTTTGCTTTGAAAGCAACAACAATTGATAGTTAAAACTACATATGATATAAATAATATGATATAAATCATATAATGATATAAATAATATATATAAACTTAAGGTTCACATATGAAGAAAATAAAAACATCACAAATCGTTTGACTTTCCTTATCAAGAAGCCACTTACTAGGTAGCATATACCTAGTATAACCAGAATAATTAAAAAAATTTATTATTTTAAATAAAAATAATGCAAATTACACAAAATTTATTTAACGTATACATTTAGACATTTTTTTTTTCTTGATTTAATATTGAATTGAAGAATTAATAAGAGTTCCTATTTCACTTTAAATTATACTTAGCAATCCATTGTTGTACATTCTATACACTTAACTTCATAAGCGAAATAGTAATTATAAGTAATAAAATTGTCAAGTCTTATTGATAGATCCAAATGCTTTCTTTTATAAGTTCAAAAACTTTGAGAGACATGAATTCACTTTAGTTGAATCTAAAACAATATGTAGTCTATATAGTCTACAGAGAAATATTTTAGGAAATTGTATATATGTAACTATATTTTAGGAAGGTATATTGATACCAAAACATCGCTGGAGAATTTGGTTGTCTCATATTAATAAGAGATACTCCCTGCTAGCATTGACAATACGGACGGCTTCAAACTGAACGACAAAGTCATGCAGTGAAATCATTTCAAAGAAATTGGCTATATGTAATTAATAGGAAAAGTTAGAAATACTCAGAATAAATACAGTTACAAGCACAAATTTCAAAATTGATATAATGATCACCTTCAGACACATTGAAGGTATTAAGTATCTTCTTGAACTTTACTTTACAGTCAACGTATTTTCTTTACTTTTTTAATGTTTTCTGAAGTAACTTTCGATTGAAAGTAACGAAGATGTTCAAAACTATTGTTGCATCTAAGATCATATTTAAACTTAAGAGACTATTGACAGACATATAGTTGGTTTTAACAATTAAGAGGCAATATCGATATCGTCTATCTCGATGTTAAGTTTCCATATTATTTTATCTTATCAAAAAACGATAATCAAAACAATGAAATTATTTTTTTTTCATAACTTTTCAAATATCAAAAGAACCCCTACGAGCATCAAGAATAAAGAAAATTTAATTTATAAAATAATTTAAAAAATAATAGACTTCAATTAAAAATTAAATACAATAAAAAAATACAAGAATTATTTCCAAGACTACTGATGATGGATATTTCTATTCTTTGTTGTAGAATCTGTATCTGAAGTTTTAAGCGATATCTATGCTGCTTAGGTATCCTTTGAGGTTACTATGGATAGATTATACAGAATTGTGCAGTTTTTCATATAAATTTCTATGCAACTCCAAAACCGATAATTCGAGAATAAACTTATATTGACATATCGGCATAGTGAAAAAGTTGTTGAGAATGGTAGATTTGACGAAATCCCTCATCAAATCGTAACGCCTAAAATATTGTAAGCAAACTCACAAATAGATTTAAAACGTATTGTTAGAAAAACAAGTTTTAATCTATAAATATTACTAGAGAAAATTGTGAGTTTGCGTTTCACAAAACTAACAGTGCAATAAAAACGTTTATATAAAACTTGAATCGACTATTTAATTACTTCTCGGGATCCAGCGATCTCAATAGTATACGCAATAGTATATTTACTTACCGGAGTAATCTTTGTGGAAATCAATATTTCTTTCTTATTTTAAACTGTTTTGAGCAAAATAATATAATTTTTTTTAACATTATAATATCTTAATGTATTAAAATAAATGATTAAGAAACTCATGCAGTTTTAATTATTTTCAGCCGCTTTTAGCATTAATTTTGATTATGCTTTTTTCTTTACCAACTTTTAACAATGTTGATATATAAAAACATAATTAAATAAATATAATTAGTAATTTTTTTTTTGTATAATATATATATGATATTGCAGTAAGCTATTTATATATTATAATAAATACACAATTAAAATAATAATTATTTTTGTTATGATTTATAGTAATCTTCTGTAAAACCATACTTAAGTTTTTTATATCTGAGACTCTAGAACTCTAGTTCTTATAATTTTTTTTTTTTTTTTGTGTAGTTTGTGTTGTAGAATATAAAATAATAATAAAGTAAAAATAAAAATAAAATAAAATAAAACATGCCGATATATTTATATGAACTACTACTTTCATTTTGGTGCAAATACAATTAAAACAAGGATTCCTTAACAAATTCTTAAAGTAGAATTGAAACAAACTATTTGTGTGAATTTTATATTAAAAACTTCAGTGATTTTTTCATTTAATATTTGCAAAATATTATAGTTCAACTAAAGGAGACGCTGAGCAATCAAAGAAAAATTTACAAACTAAAATGAAAAATTTGCAAAATTGGTGGGATAAAGCGTACATTTTGTGGAATGAATTCCTTACATTTTTCAAGCATTCTTCACGTTTTTAAGCATTTCGAAACTTTTTCTTATTATATATATTATATATTGTATTTGTTAAAAATTCTGCAGAAATAAAACTTTTAGCAAACTAATCGCAAACTTCTGAAAAATTTTATCAAAATTTTTTTTTTTTTTTTTTTTTTGTCAAAATTAGCAAAACTAAAGATAGTGAACGAGCGACAGAGCGAGTTAAGAGCGAAAGAGAGTGAGAAGCAATTTTTTACAATTTAATTTACAAAAACTAAATTTTTTTAATTTTTTTCAACAATTTCCATAACCAATTATAGTAATTAATTAATATATATAAAATTGAATTTTTTTAAAATTTTTTTCATATTTTTTTTAAATTCTTTTTAATCAAAATTATTACTTATCAATTGCTGACTACTTACAGTTGCGACTGTTGCCTGTGATATAATTGTCGATTAACGATTAAAAATTGCGTTGTTGTTGGTGACAATGTGGTGGAAGTGGTGGTTGTAGTGGTGGTTGTAGTGGTTGTAGTGGTTGCAGTGGTTACAGTGGCAGTGACAGTGGCGGTGGCAGTGGCAGTGACAGTGGTAATTGTTAGCGTGATAGTGACATTTTGGTGGTGGTGGTGGTGGTGAAGAATGTTGTAGATATTGGAATTAGTTGGTCGGTGATAATGTACGAGTATGTCATTAAGATATAAGATATGTTGTCGGTGTTGTTGATATATCATATGTTGGTGTTTTTGTTGTAGTCGTTGTAGTTGTTGTAGTGGTGAGGTGATGGATGTAGTCGAAACAGATTTTTTGTTTATACCGTGTAAATATTATAAAAGTATAGATATGTAAATTTTTGAATGATATTGTTGTGGGTATATGCGTGACATTTGCCAATAACAAAAATAGGTCAGTTGATGCGCGTAGCAGTTTTTCGATGACATATTTTGTATATTGATTTTGTGATGATTTTTGAGTTGTTTTGATGTTGACATGTTTAGTTAGCAGTGATAATAATGTTCATTAGCATACAGAGAAAACTCATTTAGGCATAAATAATATTAAAAATAATAAAATGAAAAAGAAATTAATTTCAAAACTATAAGCAAATATAGTAGTTTAAAGCTTAATAAATTATTTTTTAAAATAGTAAATTGTAAATTATAAATATTTTTAAAAAAATCACTGTTTGAATTTTGTTTATTATATTTTGAAAAAAATTCTAAGATGGGTTTACATTTGTTCTGTTTCGCTATTTGTTTTAAATTAAATATGTATATAAAATAAAATTATAAGATTTCACTACTTACAGAAAGCTTAAAATATATTTTAGTTTTTAAACGCAATTATGTAGCTCAACTGTTTGAAAAGAACCTACTTACAATAGCATTCCATAAATTTTATAAATTAAATAAGAATTAATTTTTATAGACATTCTAAAAGCGTATCTTGTATTTAAAATGTTCACAGATTAAGATAAGTTTCAAATGTTTATGGATAAGAAGCACATAAAAATTTTAGTTTGTTAGCAAAAAATATATTAGATTAAATAAAGCAAAATAGAAAACTAAATTTTATTTGACAAAAAGATTTAAAAGGATATTAGATGTCATATAGCTTTTATTTCAAAAATAAACTACCCGGTAAGAAACTGCACATCGAAGTATAATTTTGTTTATAATAATATATAATTATTTCAACAAAAGATTTTTAAGGATAAAAAAGACTAATTATTATATTTTTTCTATCTATTAATATCTATATATTAGTAATATAAATAAGTTTAAGTGGATTGCTGGCATAACGTAATCTAGGTTAGGTTGGCTTGTAATGGCGGCCTTGTGTTCAAGAAAGCCTACTTAAGCTCAAATAATGGCCCGTTGTGGTACAACGGAAATGGCGTTGATACGAGCAAAACCGAAAGGCAACGACCCCTCCATTAGGTAACGGCGAATCAACCTGACAATTCTTTGAAATACAGTCGAAATTGAAGCTCCGAAGATTACAGATTATCTTCTTGCTAGAGATAGGCACTGACACATGAGATGGGGCACAGTTTCCTACTCATCCTCAGAGTCACAGCTGTGATAAAGATAAGATCATTATAGGGTAAACTTAGTCTTATAGTATGCCTCTCTATTATGCAGTGGCCCGTCAGCCTCGATTCCGTAGTGCTAAGTAGGTGTTGCTTTAATTGAAGTACCTAATCTAATCTATAATATATCATTATTCTAATAAGAATTTTTAAGAACAAATAACTTTTTAAAATTTTTATATATGATTATAACACAATGTATCAACACACCTATCGGATTTTTAGGATCGCTAATACAACCTAACATAACCTATATTCAATAAAATGCAATCATTTGAAAAAATTTTATAATATAAGAAAGTTATAAATATTGTAAAAATTATCATTTAAGAAAATTTAAAAATTAGCGGAAACTATATTATTTGAAAGAATTGACAAACTTAATTTTTTCAAAAAATTTGAATATTGAATATTTAAAATTTGAATAAGGCGACAGCAAGCCAATGACCAGGCCGGTTGATATAAAAAAATTTTAATATTTCATATATTTAAATGATATATTAAATTAGATATTTTATGCTACAAAACGATTACAACTGAACATAAAATATTTCACTTCGAAAAATGTCACTTATTGACAATTTTAAAAATTCAGATAGGGGTAGGAACTCCTGGCCCGGATTAATCTTTGAGGCTATAACTAGAGATCTAATTTATTTCCAAGCAGGGCCTACACTAGACTTCTTCAGTTTTACTCACCTCATTAAAATTATAATGCAAACCTGAGTTTCTCATCAGATAAGCCGCTTAAGTTTTTGGGAATATAGTAATTATTATGGTTCCCAAAGGAGCGACCATACAAGATATTTTTAACACAAACTGACCGTAACTAAACAGAAAACAATCAGCTCTTTGAGTGAAGTTCAAAATATCACCATAAAAATAGAATTTAAAATTAAAATAATTACGACTATAGTGAATCTACAAGCAAGTCTTAACTGAACACAAGATATTTCTTCTTTTCTTCATTCCATTGTGTTTGTAGGGGAACATTGAGTCATAGCCTACTTTTTCCAAATGTCACGATTTCTTCTCAGGGTTTAAAGTTCTCCAAAGGTTTTTCCGGTTGCTTGGATTTTTTTCTCTAATTTCAGAATGAAATTGGAGATCTCCGCCTAGTATTTTCTTGCCGACCCAAGTCAAAACAGGACGAGTTACAAAAATTGTGACTAGAGGTATCATCTGCTTCAAAGCACTTCACAAGTTGTATCTATAACTCCTCGAAAAAGTAACGCAGGCTATGATTATACATGATTATTAATTGCTACGAAGTTCGAATAATGTACAGTACAAAAAATTTAAATAGATATAGAAACTTATTAGAATTGTTATATTATTTGTTATTGAGGAATTAAAAACTTAACACATATCAATAAGAATATAAATGAGCAGTTACGTACAGTTTCTAAATAATAGATTATACTTCATAGGTTTCGAAATTATTAATAAATTTTTTTCGAAATTATTACTAATTTAAATATTCGTTCAAATCTAGACATCCTTTCCTATTAAATCATTTTCTCATAAAGTCTTAACTAAAATTTAATGAAACAATTTAATTACTAATTAATTAGCGCAAAATAATTTAAATACCATTAATTAATTAAAAACAAAAATAAATTCAAGTCAATTTTAAATTTAAAATAAATTCGAATATTTTAATTTTTAAACATTTCAGGGTTTTAGGGACTAAGTTTTATAATTACGAATAGGTTAATGTAAATATGTATATAAGTGTGTAAATAGTGTTTGTACTTACATCGTGCTGGTGTTGTTATTGTTGTAGTTGTTGTTGTAGTAGATGAATTTAGAATTGTTGATATAGGAGGTAAATATATATTTTATATTTTTTTTTTTTCAAAATTTTGATGTGTTTTCAATTTAGTTATATTTTCGAATTTCGAAAATTTATATTTTTCGATTTTAAATAATAGAAAAACAATGTAATTGGCAATATATTTTATTGGATGATGAATATATTTTGTTGTTTGCATTGTAGTTAAGTTAATATTGTTTATTTAAATTGTTTATTTATGTAATTTAAAGTAATTGTTTAATTATATTTAATTTAAAGGTGTAAGTTTAAGTAAATTTTAAGTTGTAGAAAAATTAAGTTTTTTTTTGTAAGTGTGTTCAGGGTTTTGTGTAATATTTGGTTGTGTAAATTGTGTTAAGTATTATTGTGTATTGTGTAAATGCATGATTAATTGTGTAAAAGTGCGTTTGAAAGTGTGTTTGTATTGTTTTTTTTGAATTTTTTTTCATATTTTTGTTTGGTTTTTAGGTAAAACGATTTTCAGACCCCATTTCGTATTTGGTTTTCGTATTCGTACACAAATAATATATGAAAAAGGAAAATTAAAAAAGAAATATGATTATTAATTTTGTATATTATGATGATGTAAATAATAAGGAGTTTCATATGCCTTATTACAAAATTTATGATTATATATGAATAATGTTAATATATAAGCTTTGCTATATATAATATAAGAAATATATTTAAAAAAATATATATGCATATAATGTTGCTATCTCTATAAATTCCTATTGTTAGTTATACTTCATAAAATTGTACAAATTTTTATTAAAACTTTTATATAAATGTATATATTATATATGTATATGTATGTGAAAAACTCGAAAATCTCACAACTTCTGTTATGCTTTAACTGGTTTAAAGAAACAAAACTCAACCTCAGTTATTGTATATATTATATTTGAATAAAAATTACTTTTATATGTTTGCAATATATTTTTTAATTGAACCCTAATAGCAAACATCATTCCTTTAATCAACATTAAATAAATTTAAAATTATTAAGTTCAAGTGTAAATATTTGTATATTTTTTAACTAATATAGTTTGAATTGTTTATATTAATAACTTTTATTGCGCAACAGCCTAAATAAACTGAACCAAAAATGTATACAAAAATGCATTTTAATTATGTTTAATTACCCCGAATTCCATCCAAAGTGCATCCACTATACTACCCAGTACAGTGATCAAATCAAATATATTCCACGGATCTTTAAAGAAATTCTAAAAAATTTACATAGAAAGATTATTATAATTTATAACAAAGTTTTAATTTAATTAAAATTAATTTATTTTTTGTTTATTTATCAAGTGATGCTGAAATTTACAATGACTTTTTCAAATTAACTTTTTATTAATACTTAATTACTAATTAAACTATTTAACTATATAAATTAGTATATACTTAAATTACCTACCGTACATCCAAAAGCAAATACTTTTAAAATGGTTTCAATAGAGAAGAAGAATGTGAATACCAGATTCATGGAGGACAATAGATCAGTATGAGTGGTTGGTGCATCATGAAACTAAAAAATATATAAAGAATTTTATGGAAAAAATGGATATGTTTGGGTATTAGTTTTGATTCTCATTTTAAAAATTAAAAAACTTTAATTGTTGTAAAAAAATTAAAAAAGAAACATATTTAAATTTATAAAATAAATTGAAAAAAAGTATTTAAATTCTTAATATTTATATAAAACATATATATAAAAAATTGCAAAAAACAGTTAATCAATTTCTTATAATTAATTGTTAAGAGAAAACAATAAGAATTTAATAGTTCGCTGCCTGTCTCTTTGTCACGATGACTTTTATTTTATATCGATATTTATGTTTAACATTGAAATAAATACACCTATCAGTCGCGTAATATATAATTCCACTTAAAATATAATAACCCCTATTTCTTGAGGTTCAGATTATGTAATTACCGGCCCGAAGACTTTTATCCCAGTTCATTACCTCATGAGTGAGACATCAGTACACTATGAGCTGTATCTTAGACATGTTATTCCGCTTATTACTAAGTTTGGTTTTAAAATACTGAACTTTAGATGAATTATGAACTTTGAGAAGCTATCCTTTCGTAAGAATCTGAAAGTTGCTTTAAGCAATTATACAAGCCGATACCATTTGCATAGAGCAGCTCTCTTCGCATGAAGTAGAGCATAAAATATGAAGAAATGTGTGTTCTGATAGAACTTTCATAGATACTATTGTGCATGTTCAAAATACTTTTGTTATACACAAAATCGCAAATCTTTATAATCTAGTGAGTATGTTAATAACTGTTTGTTGCCCTTTGAACTTCTTCCAAGTTACTGATCTGTTGCTTAGCACTTACTATAGGTCTAACAATTGCTGTATAGATCCATCGCAATATATTGAGTGAGTAACTCCAAATTTTCACTGCGATAGATTTGCGATTTGTCTGAAAGGTTTTTCTACAATAACTTTTGATCAAACAAGATATTCATAAATTTTACTTCTTTTCGCTTTTCTAAATTTATTCCATTTAAACAAATTGCTTTTAGACGTTTAAGTTTATACTTTCTTCTTATTGGTACTAATATAGTTTTTGATGGATTTTTATATATGCCTATTTTTAGACATCATTTTTTCTTTGGTTTTGTTCCTTTACATATCCCTCTATATCATTTCCCTCTATATAGTAAAACTATAACATCACCATAGCTTAGGGATGACAAACCATTGTTTTCTAATTCCACCAAAATTAATATACTACAAAAGCGGAGATTACATACCATACATACATAAAAACAAAAAAAAACAGAAACTTTAATCTAATGTATGTTTATGTTTTCTTATAGTAGAATATTAATATTTTGTTACTTCAACTCATTCAAGTGGAAATCTTAATCTCTCCAGAACGGTATAGCTGACGATCTTTTGCTTTATTATAATATTTTTGTGTGTCAATATATATTAATTTAAATTGAATTTTTCTTTGACTTGGGTTTTTACATTATAGCTCTAAGAATTTTTTATTGAAGTAATATAATGTTTAAAAAAATGCACAAGTCCAAGCTATACTTCTGTGCCTGTTTCCAACATACATTTTTTGACATAACATAATAAAATCACTTTGGGCTTTAAATACAATATATGAGAGAATATCATTATCTCACTTCGACTTATATAGGAGTAGTAATAAAAATTTTAAGTATCGAATCTAATCAGATAATACAAATCGGTAATAACGGAATACTTTTACTCGAAATGCAAATAGCGTCAATCTTTATCAAAATTGCTATGGTATTAATAATAATAACTTATAATAAGTAATAAATAAATTTATTTAATACTAAACTAAGTTCTTTACATTAAATATATCTCTTAATGTTACCAATAATAATAAATAATAATATTTCATTAAAATTAAAAAGAAATAATGAAGTGATAAAAAAAGGTTTCAACTTAAATATGTTAAATAATAGGTATAACACTGGACTCTAAAGACTAGATATGTTCGCGGGCCAATACAAGTCACTGGGCAGATTGAAGGGCAACAGAAACAAGTATATACGCCCATGTATTTTAAAGAAAAATATAAAAACCGTAATAATGTTCAATTTAATTTTATTAAATTTAATTATTAAATACTTTAAACATAAAATAATGAAATTTTGGGTCCGCAGTCCGTGCTTTGGACAGCCCTGATATAACAAAACTATTTTTAATTAAAAATTTTTAGAATAAAAACTAGAAAAAATTAATTTATTTAATTTGAATTTTCACTTTAATAAAAAAAATAATAAAAACGTTAATATATAAATGAAACATAATTTTTAAAAATATTTTAAAATTTTGATGTTTTAAACCAATCCCTAAAAAAATATAAATTATCATGCGATTTGAATTAAAATTATTCAGTAACAATTAAATATGATTATAAAATTTTACTGGGTGATTTTAAGCGTGATTACAAAAAATTGAGCACAATAAAAACATTCTTAAAATATTTGGAACTTAAATATATTTTATAACACATCTATATTTTTGAATTCAAATCTTACCTTTTAGTATAAAAAAGTTTTAAGCAATACATTAAAATTACTATAAAAAATTAAATATTTAATTAATAAATTTCACATTGTAAATTTCAGCTTATGACACTTGGATATAGTAGAATATATATTTTACAATAAAAAAATTGACCTACCTTAACACCAAATCCAATTATCTTCAGCACGGTTTCAACACTGAACATTCCCGTAAATCCCATGTTGATATATTTTAGTGACTTTTCATACATCTCACCTTGATTATGATACTGCAGAAATTATAATTTAAATAAATAAATATTATAAAAATATTCACTCTGTTTTGCAAATAAAATCATATATACACAATAATATAAACATATATAAATATAAATATATAAATATAAAACAAAAATTAAATATTAATATTTAATACGTGTTTGATATATATGTTATATAAAACTAATCACTATCCTGTACTTCGGTTAAATAAAATTTATTGGTAATTAATACATACAGTGTACAAAGTATTCGGAATTTTAAAATAATACACAAACATATTAAACCATCGAAATTTACATGATCGCATTGAAAATAGGTTCCAACAATATAACTACAGCAGGTTAATTTAACGTTCTATATTTTTTTATGGGTTGGTTTAGATATGACCTTATAGTTCTAATTAGATGGGATCGATCAAAGATGTAATTATTTGCTTCGGAAACAGAGAAAAGTCGGACAGAAACATGTCAGGTATTCGTAAGTACATTACTTTCGTTAGGGTTGTTTTTTTAAATGTTGATAATATGCATTTACGAATTTCGTATGCTAAATGTACATATACATTTATTACAGATTATCTTAACTTTTCGGTGATAATTAACTCAAGTTCTTAAACATCTTTTTAATTTAAACAAAGTAGATTGGTATATATATTAGATTAGGGAGCTAAAATATATTAGGGTATGTATATATAATATATTCTTTATATATTATATACATAACATTATCTCTTCAGCCACTTGCTCTTATTTCTCTCCCCTAATTACTGGAATGAATTTTTCACATTGCTGTGGAAATCTTCTCCATTCATTCCTAAAAGCTGGTTTTAGTGGATTCACGTCTCACACTGTGGCTTTTGATGCTTTCCACCTACTGCTAAAAAATATCTGCTAACCCTCTTTATAAAAGCGCTATTCCTTAACACAAACTGACTGTCTTATTATAATTATTATTTGTTATCTAACTTTTTTTTAATTTCTTATTAATAATTATACAACAACATGTACCGAAAACTATAGTAGAACTCATTAACACATATTAAAAAAATATATAAAAGAAACCATTAAAAAATTAATAGATTATACAAAAAATTAATACAAATTGTCCATTTGAATTTGTAATTTTTTAACTTAATGCATATAAATGTAAAGTTATTTTTATTTTTTTTTTTTTTTGAATTATATCCATTAATATTTGTTATATAAAATTTATATATAAAATTTAAAAAAAGTGGTGCTGTGTAAATAACATTTTTAAATTGAGAACGAAATGGCACGTTTTTCATGCAAAATTTTAAATTTAAATTTTTATACAATTGTAGAAATAATAAATAAATTTTATTACTCTTAACAAAGATATATATTTTAATTTATATTTAACAATTGATTATTTTTCGAAAATATATTTTACAAATCTATGTAACATAAAACAAAATAATTTTATTTTTAATTCAAACAATTTTTAATAATAAATTAATTTTTTTACGATAAATTTACGATAAAATTAAGAAAAAAATAAATAGTATTTATATAATTTATAAATTATTTGAAACTCACCTTCATCATTAGTAATAAAGTATTGAACACAATAAGCATCATTATGAAGTATTCGAAAGGCGTTGAGACCACTATTCGCCACACTTTGTACTTGAAAGTGTTGCGATTTTTGGGCATGTAACGTTCGAGCGGACGTGCGCCTATCGTAAAGTCTATGCAAGATTTCTGGAATTGTAACAGGAAGCAGTCAGTATCTGGTGACTAAGTTTTCGTTAGTTTTAGACAACAAATAATTACTACAACAAAAATGCACACTACATAATATCAATTTTGCGAGTGTTCACTAAAAAGCATTTCAATCTTATATTAAATAAATCCAGGAATTATAAATAATAAAATTTTTTATAATTTTTTTTTTTAATTTAAAAATATGTGCAAAATATTTTCAATATAATGCTTAATTTTGATTTAAGGTTTTTTTTTTTGAAAGTGTTTTTTTTTTGAAAAAGTGAAATGTATATAGATTAAAACAAAAAAGTTATTTTAAATGTATAACATATTTGTTATAAACACTAAAGTTGCTTAAAAGTTATTTTCAAATATTAATTATATATAAAAATTTAGTAAATTTTGTATAAATAGTAAATATTTATTTTTCAAAATATTACATGAATTAATTATAATATCTTGCAATTTTTAGTTTCTATTAAATTTATACTTATGCTATCTATTTTCTATTAGCTATTTACAATTAAAAAAAAAGATTATGGTATTAACTGTTTTAATATAAATTATTTATAAATCAATAAGAAATAAACAAACAACTTTTTTTACATAAAAAAATTTAGGTTAAAATTTCTTGTTACTTGTCATTTTTATGTCATATAATCTATTTCGAAAAGAATTAATTAATTGTTAATCAATTCTTAATTAATTAAGCTATCTAATCTTCATTGGTTATTACAAAAAAAAAAATGTATTCCTAAAAGAATATTTTTTTTAATCTTAGTTATTTATAATTAAATAACCAATGATAAAATAACTCTTTTTATATAAAAATCAATTACATTTTAATATCATATAAAATGAATATATAATATAAGTGCATATATAAATTAAAAAGGGAATGTTAATAATTTAGACTGTCTACTCTGTATTACTTATTTTCAATTAAACCAAAATTAGAAGTGATATTTTTTTATTATAAATAATGTATTCTTTATAAAAAAAAATGTTATTTATACAATTTGTATGTCCTATAATAGGAACTCCATTTCAAATAAAACTGATTCGCTTATAAGGAATATAAAAATATTATTAAATTATTTATAATTAAAAAATAATTAATAGTGTTATTTTTTTATAATGAATTATTATGAATTATTAAAAAAAATTTATTTTTACATAATTTATTGTGTTATCATAGGAAATCCACTTTGAATAAAATAGGGTTACCCGATTTTGTGAAGAAATGTTCAAGTACAATAATTTAATTTTTTAATCATGTGAATTTTTGAGCTAAGCATATATTTCAGATATTGCTAAATATTCACTAGCAATAGTTTTTGGAATTATCGATTCATATAATTGTCCGAATATAAATTTCTGGACTGCAAGCGCCAAGAATTGAGTTCAGCCAAATTTTAACCGTAGACTGCTACGTAAGACGCAGAGTCAACGTACGCATTATTTCCGTTTAACAAATTTCAATTTTGCAAGACTTTATTAAACTGACGCATAAACTACTGCTATATATATATTTACTTAACTATCATTAATTGATGCTTTTTCAAATTTAAGCACTAATGTTTATAAAAAAGTGTCTGCTTGCTTGAAAAATAGTTATTAAATATTGTTAAGAATAAATTTATATAAGATATATAATATATAAGATATATAATATATAAGATACATAAATTATATAAGATATATAATATATATAATATTACAAGTAGATACAACAAAAATTTATAAGACTCAAGCAATAAACACTGTCATATTTTGATATTAATAATATTGTTGAAAAATATATATTGATAAACAACAATATGAATTGTAAAGATTTTGTGTCCTATGAAAAGAAATAGGCTTTTAATAGAAAAGTTTAGTAAGAGTTGAATAATTGCAGTCTAAAAATTATATAGGAGCAATCAAACCAAAAATTTTTTAAATATCACTTAAATTTGGCGATATTCGAAATGGTCACTCCAAGAATTTAGTTGATTGAAGATTTCTTCTGGATTTAAGCATTTCATCACTATTGCTACTCAATTTTATTAATTACTATATAAATACATAACTAGAGAATCATGCTAAAAGATCAGGTGTTCCTTTCAATCAAATCTGTCGTAGCTGTGGGGAAGACGATGAGAGCGCCTCTCATTTATTGTGTTTTTGCCCAGCTCATGCACGGCGGCAAATTAGTACTTTAGGAGCCCCCTTCCTTGAGGACCTGAACCAGTTACAGGATCTGACTTTAAATAGCATTTAATGCTTCGCAAAAGGTTCTAGGTGGTTTTAAACCCTGAGGTTTCACCCTATATATACGGTATCACAATGGGCCACTAGGGATAACCTAACCTAACTTATATAAATACATAAACATAAAATAAATATATGCTTACAGATTTATTAAATTTTTAACGCAACTTTAGTGTTTATTTAATTAAATAATAACAACGAAAATAAATTGTTAAATGAAAAAATACTACAGTTATCTCAAATTAAATCTTATTAATATTACACGCTTTATGTATTGACTATAATAAAATATTATAAGACAAATTTATGAATTTCAATGCTTTTATTAAGAAAATATTAAAATTCAATTACATAATTATATAAAATTATAATTATACAAAATTGATTTAAAGAGTAATAAATTTTCGGAGAAATTTTTCAATATCTTCATTCATATCGCATGTAGTTTAATTAGTTTAATTCAAGACCTGTAACACTAGTACATATATACAAACCTTGATAAAAGATATATTTTTCTTTGCAAATAGAACTTTGAATTTTTTTATTCAAAGATATTTGCAAGTACATTCTATGAAATATTATAATAACTTCCGGAAAATGTTCAATTTTTATATACTATATTTAACAAACTCACTAAGTTCAAAAGGGAAAGAAATATTTATATAAATTTATTAAAAGGTTTGAGCTATTTCAAAAAAGATAGAATAGAACTGCATTGTAGACTCTATAGCAGTTATATATATAATTTACTTATATGCAAGAATGTATCTTTTTTTTAAAATTTAAAAAAAATATAATAATTATATACCATTTGGTAGAAATTTTTGTACTATTAGATATATTGGTTTGTGTTCTATACTGTTTCAAAGCGCAACTATTATTATGTTCTGTGTGAAAAAAGCATTACAAGGAAATTTTTTAACACAATAGCGAAATAATTTAGCTAATATCTTTTAAGAACATACAACGAAACAAAGTTAATACACTAACAAATGATGAGGTATTTATTTTTACACAAATTATATATGTAGGTAAATTTTAGTTTTTTATGTATTTTTAACTATTCAACACATTAAGAAAGCTACATTCATAACAACATTTAAACACCAACAAGATTTTATCTACGTTCCAATTAAAAATTTACTGCGCTCACCTGATTCTTATCAATTTCACCGTCTTGCAATTCGGCTTCGCCTTGCTCTTGAAATGTAATGATAATCAAGGCAACGAATATGTTTACGAAGAAGAATGGAAATACAATGAAATATACAATATAAAATATGGACATTTCGATCCGGAAATTTTGTATTGGACCCCTATCTTCATATGTGGCAGCCATGGAGTGTTGTAGAACTCTATTTAATTTTGCAATATAATTAATAAATTTCATATATATATATATATATTAGCACAATTTTAGGTTATATTTAATAAAATCAAGTGATGAAAATATTTCAAAGAAATTTGTTAAAATTAATGTAAAAATTTATCTTACTGAGGCCATCCTTCGCCGGTCTGTACAGCAAAAAGTGTTAACATAGCAGCAGCAACATTATCGTAGTGAAAACTCCGCGGTCGCCAAACTCGTGCCTCTTGTTTTGGAAGTAAATCGTCGTCTTCGAATTTGAAGTAAAAACCCCTTTTTTATGGTAGATGATCGAGTGTGGAAAATTTGAAATTTATTTCATGTAAAAAGTACAAGAGTACATAACCACAAAAAACAAAAAATATAAAAAAAACAAAGTAAATTAATAAAAAAAATATTAAATTAATTTTTAATATACAAAAAAAAAAATTAATACTTAAAATATATTATAAATAAACTAAATACATTTTAAAAAAAATAAATTATATATATAAAAATTATTCTCTTCATGAATTACTTTACTTTTTACTAAATTTTATTTTTTTTTATATATATATATTCATATTATTACAATGTCGTAATGTAATTCATGTTAGTCCTTTGAAGAGCATAGCAGATGAGTTACAGTAATGAAAATGTGTTACTGATAGTTATGAAAATGTGTGAATATTTTTATTTATACACATAAGATACTTTAGTTTTTGGTGCAATTCTTAGTGAAGCAGAAGTATTCCGAGTAGCAATACTGCAACTCAAACTACGTGTTGTTGTGAACACAAAAAAGTTTCTCCGTGTATTTTTATAGAGTTTAGGCGTAAAAAAATAGCAAATGTTACAAAATCGATATAGCAACTTAATAAAACACAATTAAAAAAACACTTATAAATTTTTTTTTTTTTTTTTTGTAATAAAAAATATCTACAAACACAAAGAATATATAGTCAAACTAACTGCTAAACATAAAAGTGATTTGGAATTATTTATTAAATTTTATATTTACAATTTATTTTTTTTTTCTTTTTAAAGTGAAGCACAGTTTTTAGATGAAGGTTTTTTTAGCTATAAATTAATTTATTTTAAAAATTAAATTTTTAATAGTAAGGAGTAATAATAGTGAAAAAATATTTTTTTTTATTTAATTAAAATTTCTGTATATTAGAACCACTTTTATTTTAGTCGATCCTACAGCTGCTTCGAGTACTGCATCTCAAAATATACATCAGTGGATATATAAGTTGGTTTTTAAATCCAAAGATAGGTATTTGGGAATATTCGAAATTACTGCAGGCTCAACCAAAATAACATCAATTAATTAAATAAAATATTAATTTTTTCATTATTACTTACTCCTTTTAATTAATTTATGGATTAAATGCAATTTTGTTGTTTTTTCTTTCGTTGTTAAAATAATAGCGTTAATAGTAGTTTAAAAATAATAAATTCATATAAAAATTATACTAATAGTTTATAATAAATTTATAATTAATTTTATTAATTAATAAACTTATAAATGAATTTTATAACTTATAATATATTAATAATTCATATTAAAATATAATTAATTTTAAATTATAACAAATTTATAAATGACATTTAAAATTTATAATAAATTTATAATATAATTTTTTATTTAAAATAAACTTATAATGAACTTATAATTTATAATGAACATTAATAAATTTATAATAAATTTTTTAATTTATAATAAATTTATAATGAACTTATAATTTATAATAAAATTATAATTAATTTTTAATTTATAACAAATTAATAATGAATTTATAATTAATTTTTTATTTAAAATGAACTTATAATGAACTTATAATTTACAATACATTTATAATTTATAATAAATTTATAATTTATAATTAATTTTTAATAAACTTATAATGAACTTATAATTTAAAATAAAATTATAATTAATTTTTAATTTATAACAAATTTATAATGAATTTATAATTTATAATACTTTTAAAAGTTATAATTTATATTATATTTATAGTTAGGATATTGGTATTAAAATGGAAATAATGCGTTGCTTAGCCCAATCTAAAATGCAATATATACTCTTATTAAGCAAAACATTCCATAATTTATATTAATTTTGCATGTTTTCATGTAATTTTTTATAAGCACTTTACACTTGGGTTATGAACAGGGTATGGTCACGCGTAAACCATTAGCCTATGCCATACTAAGGCCATGGTGCGTGATGCTACATTACACCCTTCCCGAGGTGAACCTATTTTAATATTGATAATTTATTGACATAACAGAATACCATGGATCTAGAGAGGAAAATTCGATAAAACCCGTAATCTGCAGTGTTATTCGACCCGTCCTGATGAGATGAATAGCACTACGTTAGTGTGTCTTTGAATGGAGACCTCCGAATCAATGGCACCCTCCGGTTGTAAGTACAGTTTATTCTATAAAAATGTTTTACATATATGAATTAATAATGCTATTAATTATTTCCAAAAAAAGACGGTAGCAAAAACTGTTGGTAAATTGCTGGCAACAATACTGCTTTATAACTAAAAACCAATGTTGCTAGTAATTTAATGTTGCTAGGAACATAAGCATGTTGCTGAAGTTGGTTTTCGTCTACACATTTATGTAGTTTATAAGATATGAGATACAATTTATGTGACAATGTATACTGTCGAATTACTGTTCAAAAATGAATTTAATTAAAAATGAATTCAAAAAGATTGTTTCAGTAATTTATTCAGGTTTCAAAATATTGGATTTCTATTTAATTATAGAAGTTGTTTATGTGTTGGTAAAACTTTGACATATCTGCAAAAAAGTGTTATAATTAAATTTATGCATTATGGATTCTCTTGCTGCTCTATAATCTTTTAAAGATTGTAGAAGTATATGTGTATATATAACAGAAGTATCAATTAAAATCTTATTGTTTTTTTATAATATGAAGACATCTTAATTTGCATTATTAAATAAATCAACCAAGAGAACATATTATTCGATTTATCATTATAATGGTTACAATTTACTGAATGATTAAAAGAGTTATACGTGGTGTGATCAAAAATACTTGAAATTTTTTAATAAGGTTTTTTATATGCTCTTCACACTGCAAACTAAAGACTACTTATGAAATTTGTCTTAAGTGTACACTCATACTGCAGTCTTGCTCTCAGGGTTAGTAAAGTGAATTTTGAGAGTGAATTTTAGTGCGTGTAAAGACAAGCAACTATTGCAATTATAGTTAGTTATTACTAATTATTAGTAATTACTATTAGTTAGTTAGTAATTACTATTAGTTAGTTAGTAATTACTATTAGTTAGTTATTACTATCTGCAATAATATTGTTAAAATAAGATGTTAAGACGTTTTATCAGTATCTGCAATAAAAAATCAATTTCTACAATAAAAGAGTCAATATTATTATTAAGAGAATGACGCTGAATGAAACAAGCAAATAGGAAAAAAATCACTTACACAATTTTTACACAATAATACTGCTATAATTGTAAGTAATGTTTGCTATAATTCTGCTATAAAATAAGCGATGCGAAAGTGGAAAAATAATAAATTTTGTGCAAAAATTGCCATGTTGTGCCAGATCGCTTTAAGATAGGTTAAAAACAATAAATACATATACAACAGCTATAGCTTTAGATGGCGAAGCAACCATTTAACATTAACTCGCATAGTGTGAAGTGCTTATAACTTAAATATTTATTAATAGTAAAATATTAATTATAATGGAAGAAGATTTAAGATTTGCTTAAAAATATATAATATAAAAAATTAAAAATCGCGTTTGGCAATTAAATTTAACTTATTTTTAATTAAATTTATTTTTTTACTATTTCTTTTTTTATGGTTACTTTTTAAATTTAAATAATTTAGTTTTAATTATAGCAAAATGAATCAATTAATAATGTTATTAATATTGATAGTAAAATTGTACTTCACTTTTATGTTAAAAATTTTTCAAACATCTAATAGATAGTAGATCGATATACATATTTACAAACATTAATTAATATATTAATATATTTTTCAAAAAATAAAAAGTTTATTAGAAACTCAAATATTAAAAAGCTATAAATTTTGTATTTACAAACCGAATAAATTAATGTGTGAGAACTAAAGTTAAGATTTTTAACGCAAATATTGTGAGCATTCTTTTTTCAACATCGATTTAAAGTTGTGTACGAGAACGTGAGACAAATAGACAAATCGTTTTACACAGATTCGGGATGCTGCGTAAAACCGAGTTGTGTTGGAGTCATAAACTTTCCAAAAAAATAAAAAAGACAAAAATTATTCTTATTCATTGCACACGAAGGCAAACACTTAAAACAAAAAGATAAGCGGATTTACCTTTGTTGTTTTAATTAAAGTGAGTGTGTTTTGTGCGAGTATCTCAAATGTGAACTAAAACCAAATGAACTCCTACTTATTTGTGTAACTTTTATAGACGTTAGACGTTAATTAAAGTGTGTACAAATTAAAATTTTGTATCTCAACACAAAAGTAAGTTAAGTAATAATCTATAATTGCTAATTTGTTTTAAAAAAATTCTAATTATAAAAACAAAAAACTTTCACTACTTGTTTTTGTACATTTATCAAGACTTTATATTAATTTTTGAACATTTTAAATAAATACTGTTAATTTTAAAATTAATTCATATTTTTTATATATATATTAACGATGCTATAAAAGTTGACAGTAATTGAGGTCCAATAATTGAGGTGAAGTAAATTTAACAAAACAGATCCAGACTTGAGAATTACGTGCGTGACTTTGACTTTGACTTTAGTGACGTGTTGGTCAAGCATTGCTGAGTTTTTAACTGATTGAGCGCGTGTTTTTTAAAGCTTATTAAGAAATCTTCTGGCAGTAATATGGACTCTTTGGTATAAAACACCCATTGTGATATTTGAAAAATTGCATATGTGAAAGAGTTTGAGTTTGTTTGTTCAAATGAGAATTCTTGATGATAAATGTTTTTTTTACTTTTTTTACTTTTTTTTTTCTTTTCTTTTTATTAAAAATAATTATTTTTGATTTCTTTTGCTTCGCTTTGGTATAGAATATAAAAATGGATACTGGATGAATATACTTTTGAGTTTATTCTGGCTTTTATTTTCATAGAGATGGGTAACTGATATATATATATACTGATATATATAGACGCTTCATTGAGGAAACTGGAAGCCTGTGTTGAGCGTTGTTTGAGGTTTTGTTTTTGGCTTTTGTTTGCTTGCATGATTTTTTTAAGTGTAATCAGGCAAATAAACAAAGCGAGAAACTTTAAAATGCTACTCTTACATTCTGTAAAATCAGTGCACGCATTTTGAAAGTCATTAACAAAAACAAAAAATTATAATTTAAATCAAAAGTTAATTTGTTATGGTTTTTTATAAGGAATTTTAAACTTTTCATTGCACGTCAAAACATATTCTTTAATAAATAATTAACTTCAACACAGATAAGAAAAGTATCTGCGTTAATTGGCTTGTGGCTTGCAGTGCAATTAAAAGTAATTTCCTGATAAACACGAATATTTGGCACATCCGAGTTTATCATTTTATTAAGGAGGTGTGTTTTGGGAAAATTTATTGTAAACAAATTTTTTTTTTATATTTGAGTTTAATTTTTTATACCATGACGACCCTTAGAGTTTGTTTCTTCATTCTTGAAGTGAATTGAACTATGTGATAAAAATTCTTATAGGTATTTCTTTGATTCAATTTGATTTGACATCCTGGTTGGCGCTCTTTTCATTATTTTTTATATTCTAACATACACAGTATATACCTGAGTACATTTTTTTTATTGACATTTTATCATTTTTTTATAAAGTATTGATAATTTTGTACCCTATGGAATATTTTACAAGACACTGTATTTTTACAAGTTTTTGCCTATTCTAATGTATGACTTCAAATGAGTTGCAAAAACAAAATCAATGCTTATGATCTCAAATTTATCTTAATAACATAACATAGTTTTTCTAATAACAATAATCAATTTTATTTTTTTATTAACAATACCTTTTCAATACATTACAAGAAGTCAGTCGGAGTTAATTATAAGCGAATCCAGTACTCGTACTTCTTACTCACCTTAAACGTCGTCGACTTAGAGTGGTGTCGGCTTAAAACCGGTTTGTCAAATTTGACAGGAGATGGAAAAACTTAATAAATATTTTATTTACTATTTTTTGAAATCCTCAAATGCAGTTTTCAGTTTTCAGCTTTCAGTTCATATATATATATATATATATGATACATTGGGTGTTAACATACGAATTCTTTCACTTACTATTCAAATCCAAAAAATCAGTTGTATTGCTATATTTCGCCTCCAAAGCATTGAGAAGATAATAAAATGAAATTTACTTGACCACTTGAAGATAAGCAGGCATATTTAAACCACAAAGTCTTACTCTAGAATAAGTATATATTTCTCTTTATAAACTGAGTTATTTAGCATCGAAACCTGGGTTCTTGAATGTACGAGAAAAAATCAAATAGAGCGGTAATCAACATACATAATGTTTAACAACCAAATGAGCTTACTAATCTTAAACTCTGTCAAAATATATTCAGATATGCTGGACAAACTGCTTGTTATTCATAAATGAACCATCACATCTAACGGGACCTACAGTAGTACACTATCTATGCTGGGTCTCGGTGCCTGAAAGACACAAGTGTGATAAAAGGTGTGGGCACTTTAAGATCAATAGACATATTTCGACCTTCTTTTCAAAAACTCTTGCTCTTGGGCAATATAATTGTATATCCAACAGAATTATATAACAATGAAACCTAGGTTCTCGAATGTCTGAAAAAAATCAAACAAAACGGTAATCAGCCAAGACAGCCAAGTGGTCTTACTGGTTTAAAGCTCTGTCAATTTTTATTCCGGTATACTGGACAACTGCTTATCGTTCTTAAATGAACCATAACAATTACGGGGTCCACCGTGGTATACTGTGGTGGGTCTTGTTCCTTGTTTCATCAAACAAGGAACGCAACATCCAATAATCTAATTTGCATTATTCTATATTCTAACAAAAGAGCAGATAGTGGGCAAAGTAAAATGCTGAGAGGACTTTAAATTTAATCAAATTATTGGACGAACTAAAAAGCCAAAGACAGGCTAAGTGACGCATAAACCCATCTATTGTAATCTTATACAGACTAGATTAACTAAGCAGAATGTATAGGGAACACTCCCAAAAGTCAAAGTGGAAGAATTCGTCAATTTAAAATATAAAAGTATGGATTAATGGAGTGAGTATTCCATTAATCAAGTTTGTTTTCGTGAATATTCATACCGATTAGGACTTGTCAGTAATACAACTCCCAAATAAAAAAATGTATCTAAACCATATAATTAGAGATTCGTTGATGTCATATAGAATCTAGAGACTATAATCGACAAAGCGAATCTTTCTTTCAAGGAGAAACAGATGACAGTAAACAGTAAAGAGTAATAATCTCTAAAACCAGTGAACTTATACAAAGCAATAATCTCTGATACGATAGTAATGGTCAAAACTGTATAAATATATAGAATTCAAAAGGTAAAGTACAAAATGTGTTCTGCTCTATGAAGTAATACTCTAACTGGCGGTACTGCAAGGTCCTACATGTTTATGCGTTAAGTATATTATTTTTAGTCCAAATGCATGTGTGGCAAAGACTTATAGGTGAACCGGGCTTGTCAATAATACGAGTCAATTGTATTTTTAGAAGATTTATATATATATTCTCCACGTTCGGTAACAAAACAAAATATTTTCCATTCATGGGGGGTGTAAAGATACATCAGCTTTTCAAACTCTGCTATCTAGCATCTTCATCATTATGACAACGAATGATTCCTTATACCTTATACATGATTTTTTTTTTTTAATTTAAAATAAATGTTTAATATATTGAAAAAGTATTGTATTATTAAAAATTAAATTAGCAATTTCTAAATAACTATATATTAATAATTTAGTTTGTTTTTTTGATGATTTTTGTATTGTAATGAGAATAATTTTTTTGAAAATGTTTATGTTTTATGTTATATTAATATAAATAATATATTTTATTTTAAAATCTTAATAAGCATTGTTTCAATATTAAGCACTTCATATTTAGTCATAGAATGTGTATTTTTTTCTAAATTGGGAAACGACATAGCACAGTAGTTAGATTAACTAGTGTTAGACTAGAAAAGTTAAAATCATAGTTTCTATATGAAATTTTCTAAGTAAACGAAAAAGTGTTTAAGCAAGTTAAAGAAAGAAAAGAGCGTTAGTATTTAAAGATAATGGAAGATATGGACTAATCGCGAGACAAAAGATATTCGCAAATCTCTAGCGTTGCGCAGACGTTTATCTATTTGATGAGCATCTAACAATTTTAGAACGATAAATGAATCTAGTTTAAGCGTTAAATACGTATACGAGTATATGAAACTAAAATCTAGTAGCAAGTAAACATGTATATATAAAACTAAATCGTTTAGTATATTGAAAGGGATAGGTAGAATCTAAGAAATGAAAATTTTTGATTTAGTTTTTCATTGTTATAATTATAATTATAGTGAATCTGTAAATCTACAACTAAGTTTGTAGACGAATAATAAAATTTTGTTAAGTTTTTTATAATTTACATATATTGTACAAAACATTAAATGAACACAACATTGAAAAGAATCACATATATTTTGATTAGATCGTTAATAAACTCATTAAATAAAAAATGAAAATAATAATTATAATTAAAGAAAATTTAGAATTTTTAAAAAACTTTAATTAGTTTTTTGTTTTACTTACTGGCACTCTTCGGAAGTATGTTTACTTTCGTCCGTACAATAAAAAAATTTCCCATTGAATAATTGTACACCAATTACAGAAAAAATAAATTGAAACAATATGTACACGATTAGAATGTTAACAACATTTTTCAATGAGTTGACTACGCAATCGAAGACGGCTTTCAATTTTGGAACACGTTTAATGGTTTTTAATGGTCGTAGGACGCGCAGAACACGCAACGATTTGATTGTTGATAAATTTTGTCCAGCACTGCTACCGCTCATATCGAAACCGAAACTAACAGCAGCGCATATAACGACCACAGCATCCATAATATTCCAGAATTCTCTTAAATAGCTGCCAGGATGTAGTATAACACCTAAATCTACAATTTTCAGTAACATTTCTATTGTGAATACGCCGGTAAATGCATAATCGAAATAATTTAAAATTTTATTTCGTTTTGAATTCTCACGAACGGGATCTTCGGCCGCTAACGCTATCGATGACAATGAGATGACGACCATTATGAAAAAATCAAAATATGGCAAATTTACAACCCAATGGGCGCCACGTCGTATGCTGTTTTTTTATTTTCAATCAATTTTTCAAATTTTTTAATTTTTTCAATTTTTCAATTAATTCATTTTCATGTTTACAAATTTTTTTTGGGGTTTTGTTTTTGGTGGGTTTTTATTTGATTTTTGTGGTTCCAATTTTTCCAATCAGTTTTCATTTTAGTGTTTAACAAATCGTTAGGCGTTTTAGTTATTTATTTTTTTTTTGTTTTTAATTTTATTTTTTAATTTTTTTTATTATGTTCCGCGATGAGTTTAATGAACAGTGGAGGTGTTTCATGTTTTTATGGAGATGGCAATGATGTTTTGGCAGTCAGTGCAGTATGCGATGCGAGTCGTTGTCATGTTAAAATTTCAAAAATCATAACAAACGAAAGCACAAAAATTAATAAAAAAAAAGAAAGAAAAATGTAAGAGAAAATATTTTAATTAAAATTTGTTAGATTATTATATTTTTGTAGAGGTTTGTTTGAAAATAGAAAGAATTTTAGATTAATATGTTGAGATTAAAATATTTAGCTAAGCTAACTTAATGCTTACTTAGTTTATACTTAAATAATATTAAGGATAAAAAATGAATTATTTTATACATATTATAATTCTAGAATACATTATAAATAATTAAAACATTTTCTTAAACGCAAGAATAAAAAAGTATTTATTATAAGCTAAAGATTTAAAACTCATAAAAATAATAATATTTGAAGTAGTTGTTAGTTCAATTTTTTATAATTAATAAAAAGGCTGAAGTGAAAAAAATTAAATAAAAGCTTTTAAATTAGTTTTTATTTTTTATTATTATTATTATTATTTTATTATTATTATTATTTTATTATTATTATTATTATTTTATTATTATTATTATTATTTTATTATTAATATTATTATTTTATTATTATTATTATTATTTTATTATTATTACAATGTAACGAATGTTTGACTTTCTTTTTTCACTACAGCCGCTTTATGAAAAAAAAAAATAAATAATTATATATCGCCACAATAATAATATATATATATATATAATGTATATATATATATAAAATACATCATATCTCTTCCTGCTTTCATTGGACTAAATCTTTTAACTTCCATTAAATGCAAATGTAGCAACTGAGGATCACATGATAAAAAATCACTTAATAGATGATCACTTCTTCGTCTGCGTTGCATGGTCTTTAAGGGTAAACTCCTTTGAATTTTTTAAATTAGCAATATTTCAGTGATATATTTCTAAAACAAAACTCCATCCAAGCCATCATATTTTCAGTTTACGGTTTGGCATTTGTCATTTTATAATATGGATCGTCGAACAAAAGTCAAACCAGTTCAACTTCAGAAAACTTACTAAATAGTTATTAATTCTATGGAATGTACATTTCTCATCTAACATAATTTATTTCAGTGATAAGTTTTACATTTGTTTGATAAGTGCGTTTAGAGACTAAATTAATGCTTCTGGGTTAGTGAAAATTAACAAGTAAATGTTAAAAGACTATTGCATCCACAAAACTTCCAATAAGGTGTGCTATTTGTCGGTGGTGTGACAGGGTCTAAACTCCGTTAGAGTTTCAAAGTGTTCAGAGTTTCAAAGTGATTGAATATTGTACAATGTCCCGTGGAAGACATTTGAATTATGTTGTGTTTCATACCTAATGATTCAAACACTATATTGAAGTAAGAATTTGATAGAAATCTTAATCGCAAGTATGTTTTCTTCTCGTTTACTTCCGAAACCACAAAATGGATAGCACTATATAATTTCTTTTCTTAAGCTTTCAATATGTTAGAATAAGAATTTAATAAAAAACTCAATCGCAAGTGGATTTTATTACCGATTTCTTTCGGAATTAAAAAATGGATAACCATGTATAGTTTAGAGCTTATTTCTATATAT